ACAAATGTCGATGAGCAGAATTTGAATGAAATATCTTAATTTCTGTGTTTTCAGGAATGAGGACCCCTGGAAGGTGATTCTAGACTATCAAGAGAAACTCGATAGAGAAGAAGAAGAAGCCGCTCAACGGGGATCGTCGTTGACTCAAGCCTGAGCTGAGCCTGAGCTCTTCAAAAACAATTCTTGATCTCACTTATTTTATAGTTCTTTAGCTATGTTTTTAAGATGTTTTTTCCAAATTTTCTCCTAACTTTTGCCTTTTATTATATGAATAAATTTATTGTAGAAGTTTTGTACCAGAAACCGCAAATTGACACAGAGAATACCAAGGTTTTGCTAAAAAATTTTGTGCCTTTAAAAGTCAAGACTAATCTGTGTCAAGTGTAACTTTTAGAAGAGTTCTTTTGTCTATTGGACTCTGGACTTTGTTGGACTTCATTAGACATGGGCATCGGGTCGGGTCAAAAGTGGCCCGCTGACCCGACCCACGACCCGGCTTTTTTCCCGGGTGACCGATCGACTTACTCATTTGTCTAATGAGTAAGTTCAGGTGACCCGCTGAACCGACCCGGCCGCCAAAACTCGAAAATGGACATGTCTATTACTCATGTGTACCAGTCGACAATTTGGTTTTAGTGAGAAACGGTTCCAATTGAGATTCCTCTTTCAAGATATTTTCATTTTCATAATGTTTTTTCTTTGTTAGATTCTTGGCACTTTTGTAAAAGTACAAATCGAATAATGCTTATGAAAATACAAAGCATGCACAACAAAACATGCAAACATGGAAAGTCTGAAAAAGGCTCTGAAGAAAGCCTGAGTGGAAATTCCACAAAGTACCCTGCGGGCCGCCGTGGAAAGTTATCCAAAGCGTCTTAAAGCCGTTATCAAGAATAAAGGTGCCCATATTGTTATTTTTTTAAATGAATATGATTACTGTTGTTAATTTTAAATAAAGTTTACATGAATCCGCTCATATTTCATTACGATACACGGTTCTGAGTCTGTAACCATACTTATGCCGCCCTGTAGCCTGTAGCCTGTAGCCTGTAGCAATAGCAATAGCAATATAATCTCTCTTTTGGCCAAAACTTTTTACAGAGAAGCTGTATTTCAAAAAAATAATGGTGTCATCTTCTTGGCTAATATAGGTAATTTTGAAAAGTTAAAAAGCATTAGATAAAAGTGGCCTCTATCACAAATTTTCCCTATTTTAAGTACTTCATTTTAGGCTTTGAATGGAACCCATTACCTATCCATTAATCCATTAAAAACTTGTCTAAAGTCTGGTCACTCAAAAAGTGATCAAGTCACTTCAGCTGAAGATATCTCTTAATTTTTACCTGAAGCCCACTCTGGTTTTTTTGGCAAAAAGCTTTTGAAATATAGTCAAGTTTATCGAAAAAATCTGGGAAGAATTGATGGCTTGGTTTTTGAGAAATCATGGTGCAAAATTTTTCTACGAACTTTCTTGCCAACCTAATAATTCCCCTTGCGGCGATTCCTCCCTTACGATTCTTGTTTCAGCTAACAAAAGAATAGTTTTACCGAATCGGAATCGGAAGAATATTTTCGGTTCCTATGTCCACTGTCTACGGTTTCCCATGTCGACATCTCCAGAGTTGTTCCAAAAAGGCAAAAGCCTTGGTTAGCCAAGCCAGCCAAGGCCAGGCCAGCCAAAGCCAGGACAGGTCTGAATTTTTGATTCTAGTAACAACCCTGTACATGTCTACATGTCTACGAAACCGCTCCTTATAAAGGCGAGTTCTTTTATTTTGCTGACAAATGGTACGGTACCGGACAGATCAATATTAACGTACTTATCAATATCAACGTACCGATCCATTAACCCATTAAAAACTTGTCTAAAGGCTAGTCACTCAAAAGTGACCAATCAGCTGAAATCTCTTATTTTTGACCTGAAGCCTGCTCTGATTTTTTAGCAAAATTTTTTTGATAAATATAGTTAAGTTTATTAAAAGAACTTGGGAAGAATTTATGGCTTGTTTTTTCAGAAATCATTGTGCAAACTTTCTTGCTAATCTATTAGGTTGTTCGGATATAAACAAGCGTTGCTAAACTTATTGTTGTGAGAGAAGCTTTTAAAACATGTCTTTCTGTATTTAAAAGTATCTTGTGCATATTTGGAATCTTTTTAAAAGGATAATTTCTTATTTTTAAGATCTTTTTTCTTGCTTTAGATGACCGACTTCAAATATATAAAGTTCGCGTCTACTTTACTTATCAATAAGCCTACTTTACGACTTCAAACTGGGCAAAACAGCCGCGGAATCCCATCGAGATTTGGACCAAGCCTTTGGGAATAATGTATTGTCCGAAAGCCGATGCCGAGCCTGGTTCTAACGCTTTCGGAATGGTGATGAAAGTCTCGAGAATGATGAACACTCTCGTCGACCTCAAGCGGTAGACAACGATATTTTGAGGGCTGCGGATCCATGTTAAACGACGCGTGAACTTGCACAACAGTTTCTATGTTCAAATTCTACTATTGATGAGCATCTCCACATCAATTTCAAATTCAAGCCTCATTTTCAAGCATCAATTTCCCAATAATCCCAGTAAAAATCACTTTTCTGAGAAAAAAATCCAACCAATTCGCGTCACTTGATTTTCATTGCATAACGTGAGAAAGCTGTAAAGAAAAGCGAAAAGCAAAAAGGGCTTTTTCCCGATTTCGTAACGATGACTCACTCTATGTGACGCGGATGAGCTTTGACCATTAGTGCCTAGATAAAGAGGATATTTTAAGTTATTTACAGCAATAAGTAGAACTAGACTAGTAAAGTTGATTCTTTTATAATTAAGCTATAGAGTGAACAAGAATAATTAAAGATCAAAGATCTTGAAACTTGGAAAAAGAAATATCAATTTTCAGGGTTTAATGAGAATCGTGACTGTTGGTTCCCTATCTCAATAAATTTGGTTTCCTATCTCTATAGATTTGATTCCCTATCTCAACAAACTTGGTTCCCTATCTCTTTCAATTTGGTTTCCTATCTCTATAGATTTGGTTCCCTATCTCAACAAACTTGGTTCCCTATCTCTTTAAATTTGGGTCCCTTTCTCTTCAAATTCTCTTGCATTGGGAATGTTCTTCGAAAGCTTTATCTTTTTCATGACAATAGTTAACAACAATTCTTTTTAGTTTCCTTATTTTCCGTGTCATTTACCATTTTCCCCTTTTCTATAAAGAATTTCAAACTGAGATTCTCATTAACTCTCTTGAAATTCTCAATAAACACTCGAAAATCAGAGAAACTTTTGAAATATTGTCTAATGAATTGTTAAAAACAAGATTTTCCTTTATTTTTGATTTTCTTTTCTTGTGTTCTGAGATTTTCTGAGAATTTCTGAGATTTTCTGACCTTTTCATTGTTTGTAGTCGTCGTTTTTCTCTCTTTTTACCTTTCCAACTCACTTTTTATATCCATTTCTCTTTGATTTTTCTTAGAAACAAGTCTAATAAATGATTCACTTTTCTCGATTTGAAAGTAATTATTGAGATTAGATTTTAACCTTAATAAAGTAGTTTTTAACTGATTTTTGGTTCTTTTTGGGTTAGAGTAGCCAGGCAAAGGGTAAAAGCTTACAGAAAATCCTGAAAATCCAATGATCCAGTGATCCAGTGATCCAGTAATCCAGTGATCCAGTAATCCAGTGATCCAGTAATCCAGTAATCCAATGATCCAGTAATCCAGTAATCCAGTGATCCAGTAATCCAGTGATCCAGTAATCCAATGATCCAGTAATCCAGTGATCCAGTGATCCAGTGATCCAGTAATCCAATGATCCAGTAATCCAGTGATCCAGTGATCCAGTAATCCAGTAATCCAGTAATCCAATGATCCAGTAATCCAGTGATCCAGTGATCCAGTAATCCATTAATCCAGTAATCCAGTAATCCAGTGATCCAGAAAATCAGTTCCATCTAAACTTAACCTGAGAATTAGTCAAATTTGCTCATTTTTCAGGAAAATCGTTCTCAAACCTCTCTTTTACCTTAGAAAAGACAAGACTTTTGCATAATTGCTCCTTTTTGACACTTCTAGATTTCGGAATGGTCTGAAAATTTTGGATTACTTATTTCAAATATCTGGAAGATGATTTCCAAATTTTCAGACCGATTCAAAGTCTAGAAGTGGAGAAAACGGGCAAACCGGTACCGGTACCGCTACCCTGTAAGTCACTGAGATCCCAGTGGATTTTGCTTCACCTCTACAGACTTCGGGGCATCAAAGAGACATTTTTCTGGCTCAGAATTTCATAACGGATCGAATGGTGCCATTTGCCGAACGATCCGGGCAACTTTTCTATACAAAATTTTAGTGAAAAGTGAAAAGCGCGAAGTTGCGCTTCAGGAAAACTGCAAATTCGCGCAATTGCTCCCTTTTTGACACTTCTAGACTTCGGATTGGTCTGAAAATTTGGGAATTCTCATTTCTAATATCTGGAAGAGGATTTTCAAATTTTAGATTGATCCGAAAGTTTTTATACGGAAATAAAACGGAAATAAAAAGCCATTCCTTACTTTGAAATCATATTTTTAAACTTTTTCACATTGAAACCCTGGTTTGGCTAACATTTTTTGTGTTCCTGGTTGTCTTTTCCCTTGTGTCCATGCCTTTTCTCTTCCTCACTCATCAAAGCTCGTGCTATTTTCGCGTCCAAATCGATTTTTGTCCTTTTCTTTGACCAGTATGAGCTATTTTTTGCGAGCTAAACCCCATGAAATGATTCAAATCCATTTTGTCGAAAATTTTCTTATCCAAACCTACTAAAACTTATCAGTAATCAATATTTGACTTTCCATGAACGTTATAAATAAGCTTAAGCTTAATTACGAGTTGAGCTTTTGGCTTTTTTGGCCATTCCCAAAAGATACAAAACCGACAATTTGTAGTTTCCCGATTATCAGCTTTTCTCTTGAAGTCTCGAAATTTCCTTTAAGAAGATACTTTGGAAATTTCAGTCGAATAATCATGGAACCAAATTCACCACCGCCGAGCTACGAAGAATGTATGAATTCTCGTCCACACACTCCACAAAGCAGCTACTATGGAAGCGGTGGGCATCAAGTGATTCCGACCTTTCCACAGAATCCAAATGATGTGAGTTTTTCTTTTAGAGATTTGAGTCGATTTTATAAGTTTTACAGTAGTTCGGATAATGCATCAGATATCAGATATCTCAATTATTGCATACCAGATCGATACACAAGTATAGGTGTAGCTAAACTCTTTCCCTTGAGTCTCACGTTCGTTCTTGGCTTACCTTGAAGACTAGACTCCTCCCAGTGAACTGAGGAGAGACTTGTAAACATTGTAAGTACCAACTTTAGTACTGTTGTCTTGCGATTTAGTGTTAGAATTGGAATTTTATGGGCAAAGGTTTGGAGGAAATAGAAAGACAAGCAGGTACAGGCTCTCCGACTGATTTTGGTGTTATCTAGAAAGTCTTTTGTCTTATCTTTGTCTTTTTCTTTGTCCGTCTTTCCTTAACTATAAATTAAATAGAACTACAGAATAGATAAGGCTAAAATATTCGATAAAATGATGTGCGTTTGTTAAGAAATAAGCTGAATGACCGGTGTTAATGCATTTGAGTACGAATTACTTTAACAAACAGAACTCATCGCTTGTACTTTTTCTAGTAATGAGACTGCCACCGTAAATGCCACTAGTACTGCCACTAGTACTGCCACTGCCACTAGTAGTTCACTGTAAATGGTTCTTTTTTGAGTCAAAAGTACTCTGAAACTCAATCTCCAGCCTTTTAAAACTTTTCCGTTCAACTGCTAAAGCAAATTCGCTTCTAAAGCTTCATAACAACATTGAGACAAGATTTTAAGACTGACTTATTTACGTTAGACTTGACTGACTTGATTGGCTTGACTGACTTGATTGACTTGACTGACTTGACTGGCTTGTGGCTTGACTTACTTGATTGACTTGATTGACTTGATTGACTTGACTGACTTGATTGACTTGATTGACTTGATTGACTTGACTGGTTAGACTGACTTGATTGACTTGATTGACTTGACTGGTTAGACTGACTTGATTGACTTGATTGACTTGCAAAAAACCTAACTTCTTCCTTAATAAACTTAGTGACCAAATCGATTTCCAGAGTTGTCACAGTTCAAGAGCTGCCACACCAACTCCTCGAATTTATAATCATGGAGAGCACATTGTGCCGATTATGTGCCCACCACCGCCCGGTGTACAAAATGGTCTTCCATTGCAGACTCGACAAGAAGATGTAAGTATAATGAGAGTCAATATTGTTAAACTGTCAAGAATAAAATGATTCATAGATTCTTTCAAAACCATCTTTTAGTGCTGATTGCTTTCAGCATTTTCAAAAGCTTTCAGAGCTCTCAAGTTCAGAATTGTTGTTGCTGTTGTTGCTATGAACTATCGCCATCCTTTCATTATTCAAGTTTATATCTTGCTTCATAGTATTCTTAGTAAGAAAAAGTGTTTAGTGTGTTAATCCTTATAGAAGCTCAGCCATATTCTTCATAAAAACTAACTCCCAACTTCAGAATGTTGCCATGGAATGTCTCAAATCTGTTATCATTGGTGTTATATGCCTTTTCGTCTTTGTAATGTTCTTTGTGTGGCAAACGGTTTATAAGGGTTGTGCCACTTCGTGTGGCGTCTTTTCGCAGTGTCAGTCTTCACAATAATTTGATGGAAAAGATTCTAAATCATAAGATTTTTGGATAAAATAAACCATAGATTGATTGGTTTATTATTTATTTCAAAAAATAACCTTTAAAAAAGTGGAGAAGGCTAATCAGCCTGATTTTCCGGGTCAGGTAAAGCAAGGGCCTCACCTGGCTTCTGGTTAAACTTGTCTGGATTTACTTCAAGCCAGGAGCCAGTCCGTTCTAGCTTCTAACAATCTGTTGCTTTGCGTGGTCTGGCTTGATTGAGCTGGCTTGATTGAGCTGGCTTGATTGAGCTGGCTTGATTGAGCTGGCTTGCTTCAGCTGGCTTGCTTCAGCTTTACTGTAAGCCAGTCAGGTTCTATCTGGCTTCTAATCAACCTGCCTTACAAGTTACTATTAAAACTTGGTTGAATTCCGTTAAAAGTACATACTTCTAAAGGAGCTATAGAAGATGGAAATGATCAATTTGATCAATGTTTTTAGTAGCCTTAATTTCGAGTAGTTATTCGACTTTAATTCCAACAACAATGCCATAAGTTAACATAAAAAAGTTGTCATTCCTAGTCACAAATTCGGTCAAAACTGATATTGGAGATCTCTTTATGAACAAAAACCAACTAGTTTTTATAATAATAAAACCTTTCCAGTCAACATCTAGCTGCACAAGTCTTCTCGTTGTGATCATCGGAATTATTATGGTCTGCTATGCGATAATCTACATCACGACAAAGAAAAAGAGATAGTTCTTGCCTTTAATTGCCAAAATCTTGTAAATCATCGAGATCAATTTCTTTCTTACAAAATAAACGCGGGTGCTATGTATTCCTTTGTTAATCGTTTCGTTTGAATAAATTGTTGTGCCAGAGATTTAAGTTAAGAAATTAAATGGTTGAAAAATGCAGAAATGAATTTTGATATTCCTTTGCGTTTGACAGCTTTTCTAAAGATGTTAAAATTGACAAAGTATGGAGTCCTCAATGCGTAATGAAAATAATGAAAATCAAGCTAACTTCCCAGCTAACTTCCCAGCCAACTTCCTGGCTAACTTCCCAGCTAACTTCCCAGCTAACTTCCCAGCAAACTTCCCAGCTAACTTCCCAGCTAACTTCCCAGCTAACTTCCCAGCTAACTTCCCAGCTAACTTCCCAGCTAACTTCCCAGCTAACTTCCCAGCTAACTTCCTGGCTAACTTCCCAGCTAACTTCCCAGCTAACTTCCCAGCTAACTTCCTGGCTAACTTCCCAGCTAACTTCCTAGTTAAATCCCAGCAAACTTCCCAGCCAACTTCCTGGCTAACTTCCCAGCTAACTTCCCAGCTAACTTCCTGGCTAACTTTGCTTTGACTGTAAGTGTCTAGTAGCTATTTTTACTTCTTTATATTGCAACTTGTTCAACTTTTCCCAAAAAACTGGATTTCAAATGATTCTTGAAGTTCTTTAGTCAATTAAATACAACTAGTATTATGACGTTCAATTTCCCAATGGAATTCTTTACAAACATTTCCATTACCTGTTGCGAAAGAAATCCAATTTCTATCTCTGACTCACATTGCTAATCTTGCCTTTTTCCTTTTTTCTACTCCTTTTCCGGGTCCATCTCCGAAATCGATTCCCCGGACCGGCCTCTTGCAGAAAAGAGCGCCATGCCCCTTTGGCCAGCTCTAAATAGCCCCAAACACTCCACAGCTCATTGAAATGGTCTCATTCTTTGAGAAGTTTCAATTTCCTGCTTCAGTTTAGAGTTGTCTACATTGTCTACATTTACTTTATTTTTTTAATGGAACCGTCGAGCTCACGTTGTGAAACGCCGCCACCAAGCTATGAAGAATGCACTCGATCAAGGCCAACTACCCCACACAGTCAAATCTATATTCAAGATGGGGATAAATTGATTCTGATACCGACGAGTAACAGTGTAAGTTTAAAAACTGAGTTTAAACTTGATACAATTCTTCGAAAGAACTCAGAATTGGGTTCACTAGTGGTAGTTAAAAGTTGATTTGAAACTTTATTTAATCGCAATAGTCTATTGAATGCAATAGTCTATTGAACGTTGTAATTCTGTAAATTTAGGGAATCATCTATTCAAGACCGGGCACACCTCAGCATGGCTATCAAAATCGAGACCAACCAGTCACAATTTTCGTTTCTCCACCAACTGAAGAACCTCGTCAAACAACTCATCAAATCTCAGAAGATAGAGATGATGCCGATGCTCAGGTAAGACATAAATCCATTTGTTGTCTCAAATCAAATCACTTTAACATAATAGTTCATTTTATTAACGTTTTCAAGTACACAATTTCTTTTTCTACCCAGCAAAGTTTGTCATGAATGGGTTTACTGTATTTTCTCTATTAGTTTAACCACGAAATATTCATTTTATAACTAAAATTAACTCATAGATGCAAAAGAAATTGAAAAAAAATAGTTTTTGAGTTTTTGACTCATGCGTGGAACCACATACCGCATTTTCTCTAATAGTAGTGAGCGTCGCCTCAATTCCTCGAAATCTCGAGAGCCGCTTATCAGAACCTATCGATGTGGGGTCGGAAAATGTAGCTGACGATGAGATCTAGTGGGGGATTTGAGTGTTGAGCTTCTGCAAAAGCTTGGAAACTGTAAAATAGTCACTAACTCGGCTCGTTGGGGTGCATTAGAGAGAATACGGTAATTCAAAGAGCTAGTTGTGGATTTCAAGTATTGTGGCTCATCATTTTGGCTACTTTGAAGCCTTCCTTGTAGCTGTTTTGCGTCAGTGATTTCCCTCTCCCATCCCAAGACAAAATCATCCCTATTAAAACGAATACCAGGCTGGCTTGAATTGTTTCTTATTGCTATTAACAAGAAAAAGCAATTAATAGTACCCAGTTTTCCCTTACTTGTTACCCGCTCAAGTTCCAAATCTCTTCCAAATTCCAGGACATGTCTTTGAGATGCCTGCAAAAGGCCGCATTTTGTTTATTCTTCACATTCTTCGTCGTTTTCATCGTGTTGTTGCGGGCTAGAAAATGTTAGTCTTTTCATTGAAAAATATTCAGCACTGTAAGAGCACTGCAAGAGAAATATTCTGAATTATATCGAAATAATTCCTAGACACTTAGCCAATAAAATGAGGCCAATTTCAGCCATTTATGCGCTTTTTATCGCAGATTAATCGGGGTTGAGTAAGAGCAAGTAAAAGAGCAAATTTAACATTGAAGCATTCAAGCAATAAGCAATTTAATAAGATTAATGGAGTTAAAATTTTCTAATAGTAAGATCCCAAAGATCTTTGTAATCCCAAATCCTATAATTCCTAAAATCAAGCTTTCAAAACTCTTTTAAACATTCTCTTTCTTCCCAAAGCTTTGCTAAATTTTGATTCAACTTTTTTCCGCTTATCCAGAAGCTTTCTCTAAATAATATCCTTTAAGAAATCTATCTTTCAACCCAACTTACAATAACTTTAGGAAAATGAGCGAAAACGCGATGAGAAACTTGTCCTTTTGTGCATTTTTCTCGTAATCTCCTGCTTCGTGATTGCGGTGATATTTGGTCAAATCAAGTTTTGATGGAACGGTGTATAGAGAACTCTTTAGTTAGGTTAGTAACTGTTTGTAAATAATGTTAAATTCTAAAATGAGCAGAATGAGCAGAATTGAGAAGTGACTTTAGCATTATTTGGGAATTCCTCAAAGCAAAAAATCCAAAAATGACGCAAAGCATACAGTAGAACCAAAAATGAAGCCACAAAAAGAGCCGCAAAAAGCCTTGAGCCACAAAAAGTCCCTTGTCACCTATAGAATAGCTTGAGCTTTCTAAAAACTATTGTTTTAGATCAAGACACATTTTCAGGAAGCTGAGCGACAGTGCCTTATGTGGATGAGAGCTTGCGGTTGGGCAATCGGGCTGATCATTGTCGTGATCGGCTTCGTCATTTTGAACAGCGATCGGAAAAAATATTAGAAATTGGTGATTATGGATAGGTTTAGTCTAAACTTATGAATTCAAAGAACATCTTATCCCAATGATCGATTAAGCCTTTTCCTTGTTTTGTTTTCTTTTTCATTTTTGTTTTCCAAAACTTACGGGTTTACCATTCCTCCTTTCTTACTCTCATGTTAGCATTTTGACTTTTGATTTGAATAAATCGAGTCTATGGGGTACACCGATAGCACCAATTTATCATTATAAGCTTAAAATAAATAACTAAAGAACATGAAAGATTTGGGATGGGGTTTTGTTTTGAAGGGATGGGATAAAACTATGCAATGAAAAGCTCAGTGGTGAGGTTGGTTGAAGAGAAAGGGTAAGAAAAAAAAAGAAAACGAATTTTATTGCCGGAAAAAGTGAAACTTTTTGACGTTTAAAAAAATCAAAATCAAAATTATCGTCTCAGTTAATCCAAATTTTCAGAACGATTCAAAAACTGGTTTTCAGGAAGTGTCAAATTTACGAATTTTCGCAAAACTTGCATTTTAAGCGAAACTACTAAGTGTAGCTTTTTGGAAATTTGGCTATAAGCCTAATTCTTGATTCTCTACAACTTTTCTATTGACACCAAAATGGGTTTCTTTTGAAGAAAGGGCTCAAACTGGGACATCTCCAGTCCTCGATTTTTGAGTCTCACACTTGTCTCACACACAAACCAAAATCCTACTACGAAAGAGGAATCCGCAAATTGCCTGTAAAATGGGCAGAAGTCGTCAATAATAATGAAAATTATTTGGAATGAATTCATGGTTTTATGTTGAATAAATTTTAGTTCAAAGTCCGGAAGTTTTCAATTCACCAACCCAATAGTTGCTTTTTTGGATTGGAATAAGCTTTTTATTGGGTTGGGGAGAATGAGTCGGCGCCAAACTTTAAAGGGACTTTTTGCACACATAAACATACGTTTGGCTTCATCAAAAGGATCCACTATTTCTCTACAAAATGACTTTTGAGAGATTCCACAAAGCTTTTCTTTCGTGGAGTTTATGAACTTCCAAACGCAGCTGGTTAAAATGGCAAAGAGTCCGACTCATCATTTGAACAGTTTCTTTCACATAAACCTTCTTTGGTGTTTATATAAAAAAGATAGAGCACATTCAATTACATAAGTTGCCAAAATTGCAGGAAGATCCCACCAATGGTTTTTTCTAGATGACAGTTTGTAGTTTTTGTGAAAAAATGACTTTTTCTTGAGCGGAGGCGCTGTTTGAATTTTCTTTTAAATGTCATTTTGTAGAGAATTAGTTAACCATTCTACTCATATCAAACGCATATTATTTGACGAAGTCGAATAGAAGTTTTAGACATTTTTTTCATTTTCGGCGCCGACTCATTCTCCCCAACCCAATAGTTGTTCGAGAAATTGATTTTCTTGGTTTTTTCAATCAAAATCAATAGCTTTTATAGGAAACGAATTTCTTATCAATCAAAAATCGATTGCTCTCTTTTCTTTGTCGCTGTTTGTTTAAACTCTAGCCGTCGAAAAATTTCGTCACTTCATTTTGCGTGAGAATGATTCAATTCCAGTATTTATTAGAAAAATTTAAGATTTCAAAGTGTTAGATAACTTTAGCAGTTGTGATCTCACTGATGTGTTTTGAGACCAGTAAGTTGCTCGTGTAGTTGCTGTTGTAGTGGTAGTTGTTCTAAAGCTTCTTCCAGCTACCGTAGCAAGCCTCGATAAAGGAAAATGATCAAGTTTAAGGCTAAGATATGTTTAGGTGTAGTTCTAAAGCAGGCACAGCTTGTTAAGCAATCATATGCCAATTAAGTGCCACCGGAAAGTCGAAAAGGGAAATGGAGGGATTAGGGCTCTAACCGGTATATCACAAAACTTGCAACAAAACTTGCATTTTAAGCGAAACTACTCAGTGTATCTTTTTGGAAATTTGGCTTTAAGCCCAATTTTTGATTCTCTACAACATTTCTATTGACACCAAAATGGGTTTCTTTTGAAGAAAGTGCTCAAACTCGGCCGACAGCTGATATCTCCAGTCCTCGATTTTGAGTCTCACACTTGTCTCACACACAAACCAAAATCCTACTACGAAAGAGGAATCCGCTGTAAAATGGGCAGAAGTCGTCAATAATAGCGAAATTATTTCGAATGAATTGATGGTTTTACGTTAAATAAATTTTAGTTCAAAGTCCCGCAGTTTTCAATTCACCAACCCAATACTTCAAAAATTTTCATTTTATAAAAATGCGAACTTTTAGTTGATAACTTCTAAGATTTCTTTACTGTACTGAAATCCGTTTTAACCGGCTTTAAGCTAAGGGTTTAGAAATGGCTCACATTTAACTGATATCAAGGATTGAACACTAAAACTTTGGCCCTTTATCAAAAAGATTGTTTAAGAAAATTAAAAACTTTGCTTAAATTATTAGCTTTTTAAATTTTTTAGCCTGTTTAGCCTAAAAGAACTTTTCTTTTTCCAATTCAAGATTGCAAAATAAACCCTTTTTGAGGCAAAGCTTATCATTTGGAGCTATTACTACGCAGAATGACATCAAGGGTTGGATTTTCTTGCGAAAAAATGTTTAAAAGGCTATAAAAGACACACTTGTTTGAACCTTTTTCATTATTCTACTTGAACGAAATTGTTTCAATTCACACTGGTAAACGATTTTACTTACAGATTGCTAGCAAAATGGATGAGATTTTCCTTGGCAAAGGATCTTATGGTCATGTGAAGAGAATCGGCGCCAAACCACCGTATGTTTTCCAAAAAAAGCTAGCAATTGCAAGCTTTTTAGATACATTGCCGCCAAATACATTCTCATTGATCCAAAAAAAGTTCTTCGTTTCTATGATCGAGGATCCAATGCGCTAGTTAAATTACGTCACCCGAACATTGTGGATATTTATCAAAAAGTGCAAATCATCAAAGATGGACGTACCTATGTTGTGATACACATGGAGTTTTGCGAAAGAAATTCTTTACATCATGGTTAATTTTAAAATAAAAATGATTACTATAGCTGCTCTTTTCTTGGTCGTTAATCCGTTAATGCCCTCTAGGTAGACATGGTTTTTTGGCAAAATCGGATCGGATCGGATCGAGCTAGCCCGATCGGTTGAACGGATCGGATCGGATCAGTTAGGGCTAGCCCGATCGGTTGAACGGATCGGATCGGATCGGTTTGGGCTAGCCCGATCGGTTGGACGGATCGGATCGGTTTGGGCTAGCCCGATCGGTTGGACGGATCGGATCAGTTAGGGCTAGTCCGATCGGTTGAACGGATCGGATCGGATCGGTTTGGGCTAGCCCGATCGGTTGAACGGATCGGATCGGATCAGTTAGGGCTAGCCCGATCGGTTGAACGGATCGGATCGGATCGGTTTGGGCTAGCCCGATCGGTTGGACGGATCGGATCAGTTAGGGCTAGTCCGATCGGTTGGACGGATCGATCAGTTAGGGCTAGTCCGATCGGTTGAACGGATCGGATCGGATCGGTTTGGGCTAGCCCGATTGGTTGGACGGATCGGATCGGATTGATTAGGACTAGCCGATCGGTTGGACGGATCGGATCGGTCCTGATCCGATTCGATCCGATAACCATTTCTACCTCTAGATACCTTTAGCGCACGGGATTTTACGTTTAAGATGTCTTTGAGCGTTCTGGATAGATAAAAATTTGGATTCTAATGAATAACCGTGAAAATGTTTAGTGTTAAATGATCCACAGATCAACTACACGATGAAAACAATTTTCGTTTGGGCCGAACAGCTATCGTCAGCCCTACTTTGCTTAAAAGAAAATAAGCTTTTTCATCGAGATCTAAAACCGGCAAAGTATGCTATGCTGTTCTGCAAGTTACCTTATAATTTAGCGTTTTGGTGACAAAAGATTTCACGCTCAAACTCGGCGATTTCGACCTTGCTAAAGAACCCGAAGCAGAATCGTATTCAACTTCCTTTAATGGTGCTTTAAGATATATGAGCCCGGAAAGTGCTCGTTTTATTCGAAGAGAACGTTCGCGAATCGATCCTAATGCCGTAAGTCTGAAAATTTCATCACTCAAGGATTGATTTAGACTTACTACAAAAGTGACCTCTACTCGATTGGTCTAGTGATCTGGGAGATAATTGAGAGAAGGTAGGTAGAGCTGTTTTAATGAAATAAGGCTGTTCCTCTCATCTAAGAGATTTTCTAAAACTTTTCAACTTTAAAAGCTATCGTAATCTAACCTTTAGTTGATCTAATCTTTCACTTTTGGCCAATTTTGATCAAAATCTGATTCTGATCACTAAGCGATCAAAATCTAGATGTGTCTTTTCACCAAAATATAATTCCGGCGATGGTTTTAACCAATACAATCTGTTTTGTGATCTTCAAAATGGTGCTTATAAATTGGAGTTTACAAGAGAATATCACGAAATTCAAGACATTGTACTAAAGTAGGCTTGTTTATTGAACTTCTAGTAGCAATAATTCTAGATGTGTTCACTTTCAACCTAAAATGCGTCCAAAGATTGAAGCTGTTCATTCAAAGTTTAAGCGGATCAATCGCGTGAGTATAAAGCGTCGAAAATTTAGGCATCATCCGGTTATATCTGCCCTGATCAGCAGCATAACTTAGCTTGTCTAAAAGCTATTAACAATTGCATAATAGCATCTGTTACTGATATACATTAACAACATTGTGCGACTAACACAACTGTCTTGTACCGTTCGAGTCTTGGTATCAATCTAGGCTAACCTACCGTAAATACTGTAATTGGACCCCATGGGGTACTATTAGAGGGTGGGGCATTATTAGAGGGTGGGTTACTATTTTACACCACTACTCAAGTTACCAAATCAGGATACCTTCAAATAATTTGTTCAGAAGCAAACTTTTTCTTTAGTTTTTATTGGTTTTAACCATTCGAAAATTTAACAGCAAAACGAAACAAATACAACTAACAAGTGAAATCAATAGAAACATCCGAATCGATGATTTCATCATTTTCTTGATCATCAATTCCTCGATGTCCTTGAAATCCCGTCGATGCGAGCGGCCCCAAGAGATCTCTGTCGATTTCGGTCTCTGTCCGAGCATTTCTCATCGCCTGTAAGTACAATAGATTAAAGATAATTGAATCGATTAAATCGACGATGGCCTTCTCAAATTTGCCTGGCAGCTTTTGACAAGTTGTTGTTGGTCCCCTAAAAGAAAGTTGGTGGTGCCTCAAGAACCCTCAAAGAAAGTTGGTGGTGCCTCAAGAACCCTCAAAGAAAGTTGGTGGTGCCTCAAGAACGACTCCATCCAGCCATGGCTTCTTTTGAAAGAAATTTCAGCTTTTTCGAATCGATTGGCCGCTTCATTCCAAATAATCCGGCGTGTCATTCGTTTCTTCTCGGCTCGAAGATCCCGTATCCATTCAGCCAAACCGATATCAATCTCCTCCGAGTTCAAGTGACGTCCGGCTCCATTGAGTCTCTTGCGTTTTCCGTGGACTTTCTCAAGCTCGATTTCTTGTTTGATTTAGGAACGCACACATTTTCGATCAATCTTATAGAATGCAGCGGCTGCTTTGATCGAAACATCATTGCCCATCTTTGCAACAGCCAATTTCGTTTTCACATCAATGGCCTTTTTCCTTTTCTTTGTAGGTAGATCATCCGATTCACTTGAAGATCCTTCAAATTCAGCCTTGACCGAGCTCCCATTGGGATCTTGCTCGGCTCGTTCATCACGCGGTTCTTTGAAGAATTCCCTGTGTTCTTCGTATTCACAACGAGCCCGATATTCGTCAAATCCATCGAGATCCCTATCTGAAAAAATAAAATTAATAAAGTAAAAAGGGGGGCGGGGTGGCCACTCTGCGCCAAATTCTTTGCGCAACTCGCCATAGCTTTCTGCTAAGTGGGCCAATCTTTATGATTTTGGTGTTACTTTGTTGCACTTGTTGAGATCTACAATCATAAAGATTGGCCCACTTAGAAGAAAGTTATGGCAAGCTGTGCAAAAAATTTGTAGCCAGCCCAAATTTAAAAACAACAGATTTATGGGATAAAATTAAAAATACAAACGATTTCTGAAAATAAATGAAAATTTTTCCGCTTTAAAAGCGTTGCTTGTAATTACGCGTTAGGTGGGGTACTATTAGAGGGGTGGGGTATTATTTTTTCCCTCCCCCTCTAGGGTGGGGTACTATTAGAGGGGTGGGGTCCAATTACAGTATTTACGGTAGATTGATACCAAGGTCAATCTAGGCTACTTAATCAATTTGAGTCCCTGTTATAAACTGTTAATTGATTTTTAGAATTGCATTGGAGAACAATTTGAGCCCACGATAGACACCAGCCAAACGCAACTCCAAAAACCAAAATGGATCGATGCTCAAAGTCTATCTTCCCGAACCGATTCCGACTTATTAAGTTTTCACCTGAATACTCAAATGGCCATGAAAGAGGAAGATGTACCAAAAATAGAGTTTCGATTAGACGAAGAATCATTTGAAAACAATGAGTTGACTTTAGAGGAGACTCTTTCACAATTGAAACTCTTCGCAATCAAGTGCGATAAAGAAGTTTGGCAAAAAATCAAGAGACGGATTGGAAAATGTACAAAGTTTCCAAAAGACACGATTCCTTTGATAGATGAACTTCCGAAATTTCCTTCTTTTATTGACGAGGAATTGGTCAAATTTCTCAAAAAGAAAATTGGACCTATTGAATGGATTCAGAAGATCAAGAGTTTGGTGCAAGTTTGCGAGCAATCTTTCAAAGAAGAGTTCAAAGTGATGCTTGCAGCTTTTTTGAGTGCAATCAATTGGGAATACAAGGCTTGCAGTAAGCCGGAAATTTCGACGATAGTAACCAGTCTTCATGAAATTTATAGAATCATCAATGGTGTTTCGAGCAATTACTTTTACAAGCAATGGTTCACAAGACCTTTGTATTTCGCTCAATCTAGATGGTGGCAATTGCTTTCAAAAAAAGAAAAACTCTTCATAAGTGGTGGTTACGATCAAATAGATACATTGAAAGGGAATTTTTTGACAATTGCTGAAGTTGAATGCTTTAAAGAAGAAGGCGATCTCGAAAAATCCACTCATCGCCCACAGTATTTAAACGGATACCACATTGAAGAACTCCTTGAATCATTGAAGCGTAAATTAAGAAGACTTATAGAGTTTAAAAAAGTCGACACTGACTATATAAATGAAGGCTTTTTAGCTAATTTTTGTTTACTGAAACAAGCCTTTCCTTTTACTAGTTATGTGTTTCAGTTCGGAAAAAACGTGACTGATTGCGAGGAAATCCTAAGCTCGGGTATCGGTCATGAGAGTATGTTGGATTATGAAGCACTTCGAAAGACCTATGAAGAGTCCCTTAGAGTTCTCGAATTTGGAAAAATAGCTCTCTAGACCTCGACCGCATCGAACAATTGATGAAAGAGTGCCGAGAGGATCTTTTGGCACCAAGGAATTGCCCAAATTACTTCGTTTTGGACTTGGTGCAAATCGCTGGCGGTGAACAACGAATGCTTCTTGAAAAATCGGATCAACCAGGTCAAAGTGTGAAAGTTCTAGATGGGAATATGGACATTTCTGAATATACAATTCCAACGAGAGGCATTAAAAAGAGGCAAGATAGTTATTTTCTTCTTCATCAGTCTGCTGTTCAGGAAAAACTGGAAGCTGCAATAGCACTAATGAAAAAATGAAGACGCTAACTTTTTTAACTAATAACTAACTAAACTAATTAAATCCAAGGCAGTCAGCTTTTAGAAGCTTCTTTTGAAAACCTATTTGTAAAAGTGGTAAAATTGTTTTACAAATCGAGTGTGAATGATCGAGTGACATTGTGGAATTCTCTTCCCGATGAAATTCGCAATCTCTGCGCAATCTCTGCGAAATAATCTCTAAGTTAGTTTAAATCCGCTATTTCTCTGCTTAAACTATCCAATTTACTGGTCGGTAAATTATATTATGTTTTTTTTCTTCCGATTAATTGCAAACTGTATACAGTCTACTCTATAACGGAATGGAAGGGACCAAAAAGTTTTTCCGTTATATAGAGCTTTCCGTTATACAGAGCTTTCTGTTATATATACAGAGCTTTCCGTTATATAGAGCTTTCCGTTATATAGGGTGCCGTTTTATATAGCTTAGGGTCGGTTGAGATCAAAATTCCATTTCGTTATATAGAGTTCCGTTATAGAGAGTCAACTGTAATTTAAATTTTTATGTGTTGTGGATCTTTTTGTTACACTTTATTACTGAAAAATAAAGTGTACATTATAATTCTTGTCAATTCTCAGCTTTTGTGCTTTCTGTCATTGTGTTTTTCATTGACATTTGTTTTTCATTCCGCTGTTTCAATGAATAAAGCTTTCAGTAAATTTTCATATAGATATGAAATGGGAATGGCCCATGGTGCTTCATTTTACAGTATTTTTTAATCATTCCATTGTTCTTTTATAAGCTTGTATTGAATTTTTCGGCTTGCGATGGCCGAAAATTTTATTGGTAAAGGAAGCTATGGGCACTTTATGCGAATCGGCGAATATCCATCGTTTGTTAAACATTCAAAATTTTGAGTACTTCAAAGTTTTAGGTTTATTGGAGCCAAGTACATCTTCATTGATCCGAACAAAGACTCGGATAGATACACGAAAGAATTCAAGCTTTTGCAAAAGCTTCGCCATCCGAACATCGTTCGATTTTATGCTCAAGCGAAAACAATACGCGACAATCTCACGTATTGTGTGATTCATATGGAGTTTTGCGAGCGAAACTCACTTCGCCATGGTGAGTTTTGGTTTTTTTTGACTTTGATACTAGTTTTGGATTTTGGACCTCTATTACTATTAGTCCAATACAGGGTGACCAAGAATTACCAAATGACAGATTCGCCGGAGAGATGTCGACTAGCGCTCATTCAAGCGCTGGTTAAATGAGTTGTATAAGTCCAACCAGGATGTTTTTGGTAGATAAATGTTGCGGAGAATTAGGCCTACAATCCTCTGTATAACACTTGCCACTTTTGAAATAAATTAGACATTTCCCAGATACTTGTCCAAAAAGTGGTTGGGGTAATTCTTGGTCACCCTGTACTTTATTCATTATTTCTAAAACCTAAATGAGCAAACTTTTTCAGTTCTTAACGATACGGAGCTCACTTACTCCAAGGAGACCGTCTTTTTCTGGGCTGAACACCTAGCTTGCGCTTTGTTATGCTTGAAAGAGAATCAAATTATCCATCGTGATATTAAACCCGAAAAGTTGGTTCATTGATTCGAAAGTTATGCAAATTTTACAGCATTTTCGTCACCAAAGATTGCTTTGCTTTGCTTTGCTTTGCTTTTGCTCTTAAATTGGGTGACTTTGGCTCAGCGAAAGATTTGCAAGAGTTCCCGACATCCAACTCTTTTGTTGGTATACGCCGTTACATGAGCCCTGAAGTGGCGGGATTTTTTGGAAACAACATAGTGGTAAAATTTACTTTTGGAAAAGAGCTGACTCATTTTTAGGTCGATTACAAATGTGATTTGTATTCAATGGGCTTGGTACTTTGGGAAATCATAGAACGAAAGTTATCGAGCTAGTTTTGTAAAATCTCACTTCAAAGTTTAGAAAAGTGTTTTCACCGGAGTACGATCTTTCGGAATTTGGTCACTATGCCTTACTTCGCGATCTTAGCAACAAGAAATACCAGCTTATTTTTTCAGAAAGTGAACAAAATGCGCTACATGAAATAGTTCTTAGGTTGGTAAAACATGGAAAATTTTTGGTTTGACCTTTCTGAATTTTCAACTGATCCAGTTAAACTGGGTGTAGTGCTCAAAAATCTAGAAGTTCAGAATGTTATCTAGAAGATGTTATCTATAGACCAAGCCCAACTCTCACAGGGGAAAGGCAAGCACTTGTCGTGGCTTTTTTGAACAAAACCAAACCCATCTTATAGAATCGGCGGTACTTTCCCTATAACGGGGGGGGAATTCTTTCTCTGCACTTTATTTAGACTCAGTAAATTTGTTTTTCTGTGTGTTCTCTGCGCGTCACGTGGTTTCCGGCCCCTTTAAAAAACACGGTGTGACGCAGGTCACTTCCCGGTCACTTCCCGGCACGGATTTTTTTTGCCCTAGTTCGACTCCCCTCATGTCAAACTTTTTTGCTTTTCCTTTTTACATTAATCTTTTTGATAATTGAAAACAACTTTTTATGGATCAGAGAAGCCGCTAGGCTCCTTAAAACATAAAACTGTCAAATTTTTAGACGTTTCATAAACTGTTTGCCTTTTTATAACCCTTTGGAATTGCTTATCTCTAAAATACTTAAAATAATGGAATGGAATGTCATAAAAACTTATTTTTTATTATCAAAAAGATTTTATTAATATAAAAAGGAAAAGCAAAAAAGTTTGACATGGCGGGAATCGAAGTAGGGCAAAAAAACCTGGTGCCGAAGACACTATCCCCTCGGCCACGCAGCCACATTTTAAGGGATGGCGTTGAGACCTCAAATAGGGATCAAAAATGCAACCAAAACTGGTAAGCCAGATATCTTGTGTTACAGGCCTCAAGGGCAAAAGCTAAAAGCAGATTCGAGCGCAGTATGACCGATTCTATAAGATGGGTTTGGTCTCGTTCTAGAAAGCCACGGCAAGTGCTCTGTCAAATCTATCAGGCCCTAGTCAGATCTGTCAATTTTAACCACTTTGTCTTTTCAGTCTTGAACTCGAAATTTTCTTTAGAAATAACTCTATTTTTAAGTTACAGATGTATAAACTTCGAGCCAGCAATGCGTCCGGACATTGATATTATCTATTATGAGATCGTTGAAGCTAATCTGGTTTTACAAAGTCAGAAGCCTCAAGGCGAATCATGTTACGAACCCAGGATTTTAATTAAAGGAGACGAAACCCAAGAGTCAATCCCATCCGAGCTTAACATTGGGTTTCAGGAAATTGATCCTAAATCCATTCAAGACCTCTTTTCGAAAGATTTTCCAGAGATTGAATGGGCATTTGAAGAGCACGTCCCAAAGGATCCAAATACATTGCCGCTAAAAGAAGCTATCGTCGAGCTCAGACGTGTAGCGATAAAAGGCGACAAAGACTTGTTTCATACTATAGAAAATTTAATTCATCGGTGTACAAGTATCCCAAAGAACACTTGTGTTCTAATCGACAAATTCACCGAGCCACTACCATTTAATAACGCTGAAATCAATAATTATCTGTTGACAAGAGATCTGGACAAGCCGCTGGTTGAAAATATCAAAGCGGTACTGGATACCTGTACAAAATCGTGCAACGCTGAGTTTAAGCAAATGTACTACGGATTTCTGAAAGGCATTCATTTGTATAGCAAATTTATAAGAAGTCTCGACACAATTGAAAGGACTGCACTTTACTTAATTTTGGTTAAAACAATTAATCAACTTTCGAACAACTTTTTCTACAGTCAATCCTTCTGTAAAACTCTTTATGATATTTCTGACCATGCCTACCAAGTAGTCTCTTTTGAGCAGAATTGTTTTCTTGACAACGTTAGCAGAAAGCCTATAGTTTTAAAAGGACACTTCATACAGCACGATTCACTTACTTGTTTTCAGGAGGAAAAAAGTATGCGTATACATCGGCCGTTTCTTCTCACGGGTTACCATATAGAAAATGAATTCGGCGCTTCAATGAACATTATAAGTGAAAATGAAGATATCGGAAGTGAGAGCACTGAAAGCGAAGAGCTTGATAGTAAAAATAATGACAGTGAAGACATTAACGAAGAAAACGGCAAAGAAAACGGCGAAGTTGAAGAGACTGGTGTGGTTTCAAACGAAACTCTAGTCAGAGCACTTTGCTTGAAACGACAAATATCCCAATACGACAATTACATTTTCGAATTAGGAAAACCCGTAACATCGTGTGAAAAAATTATGAATTCTGATATTTCTTATGAAAGTTTATCAGATTATGAAATGCTTCGCAGAGCATTCGAGAAGGCTTTTCGACTTTTCGCGACTTTGAGCATCGCAACAAGAAAAATGGTTATAGACTCGGAACTGATTGAAGAAATGCAAGCTTGCAGAGAGGACCTAAATGAGATTCGGAAATGCCCAAATTATTTTTACTTCAAAGTAAGAGCTTTGGCGAATGATAAAGACTATATTCTTATCCCTCCAACTTCAACTAAAGAAACAGCCTATGTAGTCGATCTCACGCTAAATAAATACCGGATGATCACATTAAAAGCTAAAGAAATCGAGCCTAGTTTTGGATGGATACTCACTTCAGAAATGATCTCGTCATTACTTGCAGATGCAATAAAATACTGGAGAACAGTATTAGGAATTTAGTCTCATCAAAATCTACTCTTTGGCGAAGCACTTGTTTTCACAATTTTCTTAGACATTGCATACAAGCTTAGCGTTAGATTTTGAACCTTCTATGTGATTGCAGTTCTTGTTTTCGCACTCAGAAAAAACGAAAGTTGATTCATGTTAGTGATAATAAAAAGTTGTGTATCAGAAATGTTGTGTTTATAATATGTTCAAACTTGATAAATCTATATTTTATTTTAAAGGACAAAAAAACGAGCTAATCCAAAAGCATTGTTAAGTGCAAGACAAGATTGATGAATGAATGAGTATTCGCAAGCGTTGAAAGCACCATCGTTTACCTAGGATTGAGGAAGCTTTTGAGAAAAGTTGTCATTTACCTCGAATGAGTACAACCAATAATCAAAAATAATGTTTTTCCCCAAGAAACCGACAGTGGGCCGTACACCGTAGTGGGTTTCGATAAGTAGCTATTGGGTTGGTGAATTGAAAATTGTGGGCTATTTCGCGGGACTCGCAGATAAAAAAACAACAGCATTGAACCAGCTGAAAGGGGGTTTGGTTACTTCAACATTTCCTCTAATTATTGCGAAAAAATTATGCTTCCAGCCTTTATTTTTTTGGTATTTTTCTTCACTTCTTCTATTGCACTCGACAATCTGCCACCGGGACATATTTGTCATGTCATGCTTCCTGAGTTCCTACAAGAGCACAGTGCAGGCTTGGCAGCTGCTAATATTAAAAAGATATATGGGGAGGACTCACCTTCCAAAAGAACGTGTCAAGCATGGTTTGCCAAGTTTCGATCTGGGGACAAATCTTTGAAAGGTGCAGAGGGCCGTGGAGCGGCACCCCAACTGGATGATTCCAAATTACTCGAACTCATTACCAACGACCATCGGGTATCATCGCGTGACTTGGGAGAAGAGTTAGGGGTTGATCATGCTACAGTGCTAAGGCACCTTCATACCCTTGGATTTAAATCGAAACTTGGGGCTTGGGTGCCCTATGACCTCAATCACTCCCAGAAATGGCAGCGCGCCTCGAACAGTGCCGTCCATCTCTGACAATACAAAAAGAAATCTTTTCCTTCTCTAATTGTGATAGGAGATGAGAAATGGGTTTTATCTGTGAACTTTCAGAGGAAGTGGCAATGGGTGGGGCCAGGCGAGAAACCCGAAAGTGGCCCCAAGCCCGATTTGAAGTTTATGCTCTGCGTTTTCTGGGATATGGAGAGAGTGGTGTACTGGGAGTTGCTGGATAGCAAGACGACCCTTAATGCAATCAAATACAGTGAACAGTTGGAAAAGGAGAATGAATCCCTAAAGAAGAATAGGCCCTCCAAGTCAAAGATCGTTCTCCTTCATGACAACGCGCGCCCTCGTGTTGCAAAACTGACTCGCTCTAAAATAAACAGCCTTAGTTGGGAACTTTTGGCACATCCCGCATACAGTCCGGACCTCGCCCCATCTGATTACTATTTATTTCGGACCATGAGTAATGAGCTTGCGGGGGAACACTTCGATTCGGAAGAAGCAGTCAAAAATTGGCTCCAAAATTTTCGATTCAAAACCAAAATCCTACTACGAAAGAGGAATCCGCAAATTGCCTGTAAAATGGGCAGAAGTCGTCAATAATAATGGAAATTATTTGGAATGAATTGATGGTTTTATCGGTTTTATGTCGAATAAATTTTAGTTCAAAGTCCGGCAGTTTTCAATTCACCAACCCAATAAATATGGATCTTTCATTATTGCACTCTGGCTCTGGCTTTTGGCTCTGGTTCCGGTTCCAGGTCTTAATCTGTTTTCTAGCCTTAGCTTGACCAAGACCTGGTTAACTTAAAATTCTATCGCCAGATCAGAATCTAACCTGATCTGACCTAGCTCTTGAAGCTGAAATTCCTCATTCCGTTATACAGATTGAGCAAGTACCTAATTGAAGATAACTGGAGGATAAAAGTAAAAAAAGCTACTTGGCACAGTTTATAAGACTCAAAAACTCTGGCAAGACATTGTATTCAGCTCCTTCGATATCGGTTTTTAAAAATCTAAAACATTGTGTAGCAGATGGCAACAAAACGACTTACTCACATCAATATACTCTCAACCATGGATCTTTACGACATCTTCCAGAACGAGTTTATTTTATGAAGAGCAAACTTGACAAGGAAAAAGCCAATAACAAATAAGATAAATAGATAAATAGATGCCAATATCATGTCTTGGTATTTGTGTTTTTTATCTGTTTTAAAACAATCACTCCCGCCCCCACTTCTACATCAACTTTATGATAGATACAGTCGAACCTCTCTATAACGTAACTCACGGGACGGCTATAGCTTACGTTATATAGAGGTTTACGTTATATACAGGGTGGCTGACAATTACGTGCGCGCAGCATCAGCATCATAGTTTTAAACAATGTATAAAGCATTACTACTCATCTTTTTGTGTTTTAATATTCTTTTTATCGTGGTCTAATAATTTTTTGCTAAAAAAGTTGTTTTCTAGGTCATGACAAAGACGTGCGCTAGTCGGGACGCAATCGCACAGCTGGCGACGAGCGGCATGAAGAACTCGTCGATCGCATCGAGGCTTGGGATGGCTCTGAGGACCGTCCAGAAGATCGTAAAGCAATGGAAAGATGAGGGGCATGTTCAGTCCAAGCCCGGAAGAGGACCAAAGAGGACCGTTAACACCCGAAAGATGCGTGGGATCATCAAGAGGAGGATCGAGCGAAAAGACGATCGTAGTTTGAACAAGATGGCAAAACAGCTTCAAATTTCGCGTTTCTCGGTTCAATCGATAGTGAAAAATGAGCTCGGACTTCGAAGTTATCGACTGTTAAACGGGCAAGTGCTCACCGATCAAGCCAAGCAAAACCGGAAGGAGAAATGCAAGAAATTGCGAGCTTTTTTCAAGGTGCGGCGCATTGACGATGTTCTTTGGTCAGATGAGAAGATTTTCACCTTGGAAGTGGCTAAAAACTCACAAAATCACCGTCAACTTCTCAGTCCAGCTCTCAAGAGCACTCGTAAACGAAAAGTCGCTACAAAAGGTCTGTTTCCAAAAAGTTTGATGGTTTGGGGTGGCATTAGTGCTTCGGGCAAGACCCCGTTGGTTTTTATCGATAAAAATGTGAAGATTAACGCAAAAGTCTATCAAAAAGAGATTCTCGAGAAAGCTGTGGTGCCATGGAAGAGGAGCCATCCCAATTTGACCCTTCAACAAGATTGGGCGCCGGACCACGGAGCCAAAACAACAATTCGCTTTCTCGAAACCAAAATTGGCTCTTTTTTGACGAAGGATCAATGGCCTGCAAACAGCCCGGATCTCAATCCGTTGGACTTTTCGGTTTGGGGTTTTATGGAAGAACAATTGAGAAATAGAAAAATCACCAATTTGAATGATTTACGTCGAGAATTGATCAAAATCTGGAACGACTTAGATGCAAATTATCTCCGCCGCACCGTCGATTCTGTAAAGAAGCGAATTGAAGCCTGTATCAAAGCGGATGGAGGCCACTTCGAAAATTTCTTGTGATTATTAAATGCTTTTGTTACAACTATTATATAAATAAAGATTTTTACATTTTCTTTGAAAGAAAATTAAATTATGGCGTTTTCTTTGGCGCACGTAATTATCAGCCACCCTATAGAGTGCCGTTTTATATAGCTTAACGTCGGCCGGGACCGGTCACGCCTTACGTTATAGAGAGGTTTACGTTATATCGAGGTTCGTTTTAGAGAGGTTCGACTGTACTTCTTGTTAGAAAACCTTGTTAGAAAACCTTGTTCAATCCGAAATTTCTCATTTTGTTATACAGATTGAGCAAGTACCTAATTGATTCCAATGAAGCTAAAGTTGAGAAGAAATTTCTCGAAAGAAAAGTTTACAAAATTTTATCCTTTCTTCGGGAGCTTTTCTTTTGGTTCTGTTATAACAATCAAAGCTTTTTTGAGCAAAATCCCATCACAAAGCGTCATGCTTTCAGGCTCTTAGTCAATATTCTTGGATTTGCTACCTAGATTGTCTCCCTAGATTCTCCGCTAGTTTCATTCAATACTCCAAACGATATTTGTTTTAAATTTGAAGCCGTACTTTGTAAGGATAGGAATAAGTTTGTACTTGAAACGGAAAACACTCAAACCATTCAAAGTTAGTTTATTGTCTTATTTTCTTTTGAAAGCTAGTCAAGCAAGGTTGATCTATTGTCTTTTGAAAGCCAGTCAAGCAAGGCTAGGCTGCGGCATGACCTTGCCTAGCCCGGCCTAGCCGGAAAAAATGATTTTGGTAAACCCCTACTTCTCAAGGATTGCAAAGTGCCCAGTTCTAGTAGCCTCGAAGAATTCATGTTTGACATTCTGCACACTCGCTATTTGACGTTCCAAGTGCTAAGGGGGGAGTTGAGAAAAAGGAAAGAGAAAGCCCCGATTCACCTGAAACCCCTTAAGGAACAACACAGAGATAAAAGAAAAGGGAAAGACTGAGGATATCGGCTTCCTGCAAATATGACGCCTCGCATAACTGAACGAGAGGTTAAAGAGGAATCCTTGTTCAATAAATCATATACATATTCAGCTACCTATTTTCGAATTAGCCTAATTTTCCCGTAAACCTTTCAAACTGTTTTTCTCAGATTGCGTTTTGTTCAATTTTCGTCACATTTGATGAATCAAAGACCTAATTTTGACTTATTTTTAATCAAGAATCAATTCTGTTCATTCTGCTACTTCAGATTTTGCATAGCTGATCCCGTTTTTGAAACATACGTAGCGATGAGAGACACGTAAGCGCTGATGACATTTTTGACGGGAACATAGGTGATCCAAGGGGTAAAAGAGAGGGAAATGATGTCCCTTTTGCAGAGATCTTTCATTACGCTCCAAGATTTGACCATTTTCAAGAAATAGATGTATAATAGTCAGAGCTAGGGTCAATCTGGAGAGTCTATTCGGTTAGATCGCAATCTAGAAGCTAGCTTAGTTGATATTCTAACACTTATCCCTACAGTTTAGCTTCCAGTAACACAAGTTTTAAGTTTTGAATTCGAGCTTTGAGTTTTAAGTGCTTTTCCTAGTACATTTTTGTCTCATAATTACTCTTTCTACTTTTTGCATGCTTTTCTTCTATTTTTTGATCCAAAACATTGCTATTCCAGGTTTTACATGAAGACCACGATAGCGTTTGGAGCGCTCGGTAAGCTAGTTTGCTCTTCCTTTGCTCTTCCTTTGCCCTTCCTTTGCTCTTCCTTTGCTCTGCCCAATAGTTAACTTCCTCTAGAGTAATGGAGGTTAAGTTGTGGTGTAATGGTTAGCACATTTGTCCGTAAGCGGTAAGCGAAAGGTCGCAGGTTCGAGTCCCGACGCACGAGTTTTTAACCTGCCCTAGTTCCAACTCAATCGTTCAATGACAGTTTCAGTGGTGGCATGCTTGGCTTGTACTCCCGGTGAATATATGACATGTGTTTCACAAGTGAGTGAAAAAAGCTCATTCTTGATTTGTTGTTCAGGTATTATCCCAGAGAGTCCCGTTTGACTATAATGTGATGAGTGTTGCATTGAATATTACAAGTGAGGCGATGTTGCTAAAAACTTGCAGGTAAGTAGTCGATCTTTAGCTCTGATTGCAGATCAGATCAGACCTGATTAAGTAGAAGATAAATTCAGCTATCAATCCAGAAACTTGTTCTAGAGCCTATCAAAACGCGATTCCATGCTTTGAGCAACGGACGGCTTTGTGCGGGACACGAGCTCAAAAGCAATCATTGGATAAAGGCAAACGGATTTACAGGTAGTAAGTATTTTTGATCAATTTCCATTTTATTTAGTTATTTGTGTGCTCCATTCTCTCTTCAGAGGCAAAAAATCTTGTTGAGGAGAATGCCATGTATTCAGGTTTTCTTTTATTTACCGATTTTCGGTCATAACTGTATTCAGGAGGTTGTCAGCAAGCCGATCGATGGTACATGTGAAAAGGGAAATGGACTTTTGGCAAAGAAAGTGGCTAGTTGCAGGTAAAGAAAGTGGCTAGTCGCTTCGTTGAACGTTGAACTTTCGTTAAACTCGGTTACTCAAAGCTTTTTGGTTGAACTTGCTATGGATTGTACATCGGAACCATGTACAATCTGGAAAATCTGGTGCTGGGTTCAAAGATCCAGTTAATCTAGGTTGACAATGAGTTGGTAGTTGACAAAAAGTAGGATCTTATTAGCTGAATTACTTGGATTCAGATCTTAACTTGATTGGCCTAATGAACTGACCAAAAACAGAGAGCCAAATGCCAAATTCTAGAGCCAAATGCCCTACAACCGATACGAGTTGTTTGGCCAAAGTGGATCTTTCTGATGTAGCTGTTTGTACCGTGCTTGAACTTGAGAAGAAATGCGGCATTGAAGGCGCTCAATTCTACTCTCAAATGCAACAAGTTGTAGCTTGACAATTGACGATTAATGATTCTTCCCAGGTGTTGATCAATGCCGAATATCCAGTTCAATGTCGATACTCTTTTGCAAAATCGACTGATGATTTGAAAAAGAGAGGATTGCCAGCTGAACCATTAGCCGCTCCAGCAAAGTCACCAGCTGAGTCTTCGATTGAGGACAGGATTCGGGAGAATATGAAAAAGGTAAGAAGCTAGAATTCATAGCTTTTATGGGTTCGATTCTGTTCATAAGCTTTATCGGTTGTGCATTCTTGAGCTGCACTCTTGAGCTGCATTCTTGAGCTGCATGCTTGAGCTGCATTCTTGAGCTGCATTCTTGAGCTGCATTCTTGAGCTTGAGCTCCTCACTTTTGCTTCTTTGACAAGCTATGGCTTTACTTTATCACTTCATGAGTCGGGTTCGATTCCCGTATGTGCACCACTTTTGCTAGATCACAACGACCACTCGTCGGCCACCAATTCGACGACAAGCTCGTATTCGAACTGTTTTTATCAAGAGACCCCAACCAGCCACCATCCAACTCTCGCATTTCGCACCACCGGTGGTGATCACGAAGAACCGTTTCAGGTGAGAGTTTCATTGAACTGAATTACTGAATCTAATTGTACTGAATTGTTTTAGTGATGTGGGTGCTTCGATCGGTGCTCAACTTGGAAAGCAGCCGGGATTATTGGGAGCTCGGCCGATTCCCGATTCGATATACATGGATCAGCCAACAACTTCTGTGTCGACACCGATGATCATCCGCTTCTCACCACCACCAACATTGATTACTCAGGTAAAATTAATTAATCTCATTTATTCCCTATCTGTAAATTTAATTTACAGATTCAAGGCAAAAATTCCTCGACTTTTAACATTTCAGAAACCCTTCCAAGCCATTAACACTCCAGCCCCGAAACTTTTCCAGTGGTCAGCCCCGAAGTTGAGCACAATGGCTTCGGTTTGTTATAGAATAGGAATTTACAGTTTATAGAGTTTACAGAAATATACAATTTACAGTTTACCAAGAGTTAAGTAGATCTTGCTATTAATTCCTTTAAATATTATCACTTTAGGATGCTTTGAAAGACTTCAAAGTACCCGCCTGGTACAATCAGATTAAAGGAAACGGGAATGGAACTAGCACTACGTTGAATCCATTATTTGTTTATAGAGTGAGTTTGGAGCCAGTATTTAGGATTCCAATTTTTAGCCACCTGCCAAGGATACCCCGCCAGCAAACAACGCTTATCCTGGAGCCAATTTGGGGACAACGCCTTTACCCTTCAAAATTAGCATCAATTGGATCGACCCGGAGACGACGGTGGCACCGAATCGAAAGGTTTTGGAATGAACTTAGGCATTCTTATGATCCATTTCAGATCACTCAACCCTCGCCTAACATTGTCCGTTTGAATGATGATCTGGTTGAGAAAATTTCGGAAAACGTTGATACGGAGAAGAGGGATGACGACGATTCAACACTGCCAACAATCGATTTAGAGGATTTGAGTAATAAGGTGAGTAACAGCTTGGAATGCCGCATAAAGCTTAGGGTTATAAGCTCATAAATAACATTTTAAACAACCCAAAAAACTAAAAAACACTTTGGAATAAATTCTTAGCCTTAATGGGTCAAAACGGTGACAGGTTTCCCCATAAAACATTCCCGCAAAAGGCTGCAGAGAGGGATTTTCCCCTTTTTTTCCGCAAAAGAGACAGCGGCCGGATGGTCTAGAGGTATGATTCTCGCTTCGGGTGCGAGAGGTCCCGGGTTCGATTCCCGGTTCGGCCCAAATTTTGTTCCATTTTTTGGAAAAATGCAATTGAAGAGAAGGGAATTTGCATACAAGATTTCAATAACAAGGAAACATACAAATTGAAGCTTGAATAGTAAATTCTAAAAAGTTTCAGTTAGAAAGCTTCAAAAACACTTTGGAATAGATTCTCAGCATTAATGTGTTAAAACGGTGATAGATATCGACTGATTCCCCATAAAAGGTTCCTGCCAAAGACTGCAGAAAGAAACCCTCCCTTTTTTCGCAAAAGCACAGCGGCCGGATGGTCTAGAGGTATGATTCTCGCTTCGGGTGCGAGAGGTCCCGGGTTCGATTCCCGGTTCGGCCCAAATTTTTGTTTTTTTTGGAAAAATGGGATTGAAGGGAAGGGAAACGTGAAAATATCGCATTTTTGATTTCCAGGCAAGTCGCTACTTCAGCGCTGCCGTTTCAGCCATTGAAGAGAAAACGACAAAACACGATGGGGATGCTTGGAGTAAAATTGCTGGAATTGTCGGTCCAGCTATTCAGAAAATCTCGCCACAGGTTAGGAAATGTTTGAGTTTACGATAAATCAGACTTTTGTAGCTTTAGAAGCCAAAATGAAAACCATTTTCAATAGCAAAGAAAGGTAGTCTTTGGTTCGACCGGTTAAAGTCTAGAACTGGAGTAAGGGAACGATCATGGCCTCATAGAAACACTTGAATCTATCAAAGAGTCAACATTTGGATAAATTTAATCAATATTAAGGTGATCGTTCGGCTGAAAGAAGAACTCGACAAGATCGACGTGCCGACGAATGACGACGCGAAGACAACCACTCCACTCCCAGTTCAAGCTCCTGCTCCACAATTGGCCCCTTCAACTTAACCCCAAATATTTATTTTCTGCTTATTTCAGTTTCTGATAAATTATTGAGAATCGTTGACAGCACACAACAAAGTACAAAGCTTTATCACTTGAAGTTTTCTAGAATTTCTAGAAATTTTGAACGCAACACGTTATCAGTTTTACGTTCTGAATTGAAAAATCGAAAGAGTAAACGTAAAAGTAAACAAAAAGAGGAAAATTGTTTGAGATTAGGTTTAGAAATAGGGGATTCTAGAGTCATAGCCGATTGCAGAACTCCAACACTTGGAAATTTGAATTGTGAAAGCGATTTTGAAGCAAATGTAGCAAATTCGTGTAGCAAGCATAACAAGTAATGAAGAAATTTCACTAGAATCTTTGGCTTGGGTTTTGGTTGTGTTTGTAGGTTGTTTTTGCAACTAGAAAGGTTGTGGTTGCAAGATTAAGTTTATTTTTAAACATAAAATCCACTACGAGCTGATACAGAATCATTTTTCAACCAAAGAATCACCAAACTTCAATCCGATTTTTTTTGGCCAAAGTGCAAGCGTTGAGCAAATGTTAACGAAAAGAAAAGAAAAAAGAGCACATTTTGAGGTGAATGACTCCATTGAGGAAATTGAGAAAAGGAGAGAAGAGGGTGAAGAAGAGAATTTAAGAAAAGCTCTGACTTGTGCAAGTTTATTTTTCATGGCGTTTGTTCATTCCCTCAAGAAACACTTGATATAACTTTATTTGGTGAATTTTATTGAGTTTTTTTTATTCAATTCCTTTTATTTGTTTCATTTTTAAACTCAAAACTCAATTTATTTGGCAAAAAAATGCTGAAAATTGAAAGATTTTACAGCTTTCCCTCATCATGACTTTGGAGGCTTTTACTGGAAAATGGATTCAATCAAGAGCCGAAAATTTTGAAGAGTATTTAAAGGTTTGTTTTAGATTTTGATTAGGAAAGTGACTAAATATAGATTTTCATTAGGAAGTTGGAGTTGGACTAATGATGAGAAAAGCGGCAGCGAACATTAAAGTGACACTGACAATCACTGTTGAGGTAAAGAAACACAAGAGTTAGTCATAGAAAGCAGGCTGTTCTTATCCCAGAACTAGAGTTGCTCGAAATTTGGACAAACAAGAAGCCAGATACTAGGCTGGCTTTACTTATGTAAGTCTCCACAAAAGGCTGACTACGACTCAAGATTCAAGCTGACTCAAGCTCTAGCATGGTTTTACCCGGTTTACAGGATCTGGGCTTGATTGGAGCCTTGCTCTAATCAAGAATCGAATCAAGAAAGAATAAAGCTAAAGATCAAACAGAATTCAGGGCAATAAGATCACAATGAAGCAAGAATCGACCTTCAAAAATCAAGAGCACATTTTTGTGATTGGCGAAGAGAAAGAAGAAGAAACGGCTGATGGGCGAAAGTTTAGGTGAGAGCTGGAAGCAAAGAGAAATGCTATGGAAATTATAAATCTTATTCTTGACTGGACTGAATTGAATTGGATTGAATTGAAAAGACAATCGCCTGGTTATTATGGATAAAACGTTTAGATCAACGATCACACTTGTGGATGGGAAACTTGTGCAAAAGCAGACGCCAATCAAAGTAAGAAAAATTTTTAAAGTTCTTTTTCTGGAATTTTTGGTTTTATTGAGAACTTTGACAGTTGTTCTTATCAAAAGCTAATCGACTTGGGGAATCTTTTCAAAAGGCAAACGACAAGGACCGGCAACATGTCCGTTGTGGTCTAGTGGTTAGGATTTATGGCTCTCACCCATAAGGCCCGGGTTCGATTCCCGGCAACGGAATGAATTTTTGCTTTTTAAGGAACTTAAATCAAATTTGATTGGCAGCTGTTGATGGTAGAGCGAGGGTGAAAACCCCTTTTCTCTCATCCCCTCCCATCTTCCGTTGTGGTCTAGTGGTTAGGATTTATGGCTCTCACCCATAAGGCCCGGGTTCGATTCCCGGCAAGGGAATAATGTTTTAGCTTTTTTTGCAAAACTTTTTGAAATGAATTTCTAATGATTTTCGATAACTGGAAAAATGGAAAATTATTTAGGCTGGTGATAAAGCATCAACAATTACTCGATGGGTACAAGGAAACGAATTGCATGTGCAAATGGTATTTTTGATAAGAAAATGAATACGGTAACATTATGAGGGTTTTAGGAAAGTGGAAACGTGAAAGCTCTCCGTGTCTACACAAAACAATAATTCATTTGCTTTCCAAGCTGAAAAATGTTACCGTATTTCCTCTAATAAACGTCTCCCCCTCGACCAGCTTTAGGCGTCCCGTTCTCAGCCCCATTTTGATATATCTTTATGTTTAATATACCAAAAGATAGAAGACATTAAGGGCTATCTTTTGATATATTAAACTTAAAAATATCTCAAAATGGAGCTGAGAACCAGGCATCTAAAGTTGGTCGGAGGGAAGGGGCGTTTATTAGAGGAAATACGGAATGAGCTTATTCAAATTGATCAGAAAAATAAATTCTTTTTCATTTTTGATGACAATGAGCATCTTTATGATGAAATTTCATGTATTGCATCATGAAAACAATGCTATTTTGTTTTTTTTATACTTTACTCTTTGTCTAAACATTCTCAGATCAATGTCAGAGAATCAAAATACACAGAAAACATTCTAGGGTCAAGGTTCACTAATTTTCAATACCACACACGGCTCGTTTCCACGATTTCTCCACATTCTCGACTCCTTTTCGCGAAAAGCGTTCACCCCATCGCTTAAACGGCGTATTATTTCTCTTTTTTTTGCTTGCTGTCATTTTGGGAGAGTCTTGATAAGCGCTGCCCACACTCTGCCCAGGAAAAGGCATTGAGGCAGATCGTAAACTCGCCGCCACTCAAACGCTACTGCCTTCGGCGCCGATTTTTAACACCATTTAGAACTCATTTATCTGCAAATTTCTTGCCATTAGGAGACTTTAGCTAGTTTTTATGGTTGATCTCAAACGTGTTTGTTCAGTTTTCTTTTAGAAACGATCATATTTGAATCCTCTTTTGATTGCTTTCTTTCTTTAAACAAACATTTTTAAAGTTTTCATTTTTTAGAAGCCATGTCCGTTGACCAATTCGCCGGCACTTGGGTCCAATCCAGCCAGGAGAAGTTCGAGGAGTACATGAAGGTAGAAAGCAGAACTTTCTTGTTTAATTTACGATACTACAGTTCTTTATAGTTAGCTAAGTTAATAAGTTTAAGTTAATAAGTTTACGTTAATAGCTAAGTTAATAGCTAAGTTAATAAGTTTAAGTTAATAAGTTTAAGTTAATAAGTTTAAGTTAATAAGTTTATGTACTTTATAAAAAAGCTAACAAGTCTACAACAAATTTGACAAAAATTTCTAGGAAGCCGGTGTTGGATTGATCACCCGAAAAGCCGCCGCTAACCTTAAAGTCACCTGCAAGATCACCGTTGAGGTGAGTGAAATCAAAAACGGGAAAAAACTATATTGCTGTATATCCAAAAATCTTTCCAGGGAAACACCGTTCACTGGAGACAGGAGTCTTCATTGAAAAACTACGAGCTCACGTTCACTGTTGGAGAAGATATGGAAGAGGAAACAGCTGATGGACGACATTTCAAGACAAACTTCCATTGGGTGGGAGACAAATTGGTGCAAGAACAGACACCAATCAAGGTATGGATAAAGGAGTAGTAAGAAGTTAAAGAAATCAGTCTAAATCATCACCAGTAACTTTCGAATGAGCTTTCAATAGTTATAGAGCTAGTTATAGAGCTCTGGAGCCTTTGTTGGCTATTTGCATTGATACTTTTATCAATGTTTCTTGAAATATTCATTGATAAATTAAATTTTTTGGTTCTAATCTAGTCTAGTCTTTTGGTTCTAATCTTGAGTAGAGGCTCTAGTTTTGTGCAAGTATTATTTTGAGTACAAACGAAATTTTCAGGACGGTGACAAGCCGTCAACCATCTCTCGATGGGTCCAAGGAAACGAGCTCCATATTGAAATGGTATCAAATTTTATAATTTATAGCTTTTGGCTATTCAACAAGGCTTGTGAATTTAAACCAACTCTTAGAAGCCAGGTTTTACCCAGTGATTTCCAGGTTTGCGGCTCGGTGACCGCCAAGCGTGTCTACACCAAGCAATAAATAAAGCACCAATTCTCTCATCTTATTTTTGAGTTTTATGTGATTGATAAACTTTTGGCAGCAAATTTATATGAGTACCACCAAAACCGGTAAAAAGATTATGCGCAGTAGCTAAAGAAAAGAAATGGTCCGAATAGAGGTTTAAGCAATACTATCACAAAATGAAGAAACAAAACAAGTTTTCTAAAGAGGCAAGATTGAGGATTTACATAAGTGAGCAGTCCTTGTCTTTCTTTTGCTTTTGCGGTGGATAATAGGCTTGTTGACCGGGTTGATTGTTGGGTGCTGGGGAATAGCCTGAATAAATCACTAAATTACATTCACGATGTATCATATCGCTCAAAGTAATGTTTCCTCAATTCCAATTTAGCCGTCAACACCCCGAGCTAAAGTGTTTAGAGTACTAGAGTTTTAGGAAGCATTTAACCTCTAATCAACTTATCAGTGAAACTCTTTACCCCCACTTGATTGTCCACCATAGTCCTGGCGAGGATAGTTGGCATCGTCGTAGTTTTGCGTTGGGTAGTTCGGCTAAAAATGGAAATGAAAATAAAAACGGATAGCCTTGGCGTTCTACAGGATAACCGCAAATTATAGCGACAAGTTTTTGATAAAATAGCTGGGAAATGTCTCATTTATTTCAAAAGTGACAAGTGTTTTATAGAGAATTGTAGCCCTAATTCTCGGCAACATTTATCTACCAAAACCTTTCCGATTGGACTTACACAACTCATTCAACAAGCGCTTGAATGAACGCTAGTCGGCACCTCTCGGGCGAATCTGTCACATGGCCGCTTTTCTCTATTAAAAATTGCAAGAAAAGCTTTTGATATTTCTTCAATGCAAAAATAGCGTTCAACATAACTTAATAACATTAAGAATCACGCTTAACTGGCATAAACAAAATTTAAGTTGATGTCTTGATGAAGGAGCATGTCGTCTAGCGCTTATTCAAGCGCTTGTTAAATGAGTTGTATGAGACCAATCGGGAAGTTTTCAGTAGACAAATGTTGCCGAGATTAGGGCTACAATTCTCTATATAGCACTTGACATTTCTAAAATAAGTTAGGCATTTGCCAAGTAATTTTCCAAAAAGCTGTCGCTATAATTCACGCTCATCCTGTACAGTAAATTTTAACCAAAACTCCTGCAAACCTGTGGATTCGATGGTGGATAACCGCCAGGATTCTGTTGAAAACCGTAGGAAGGAGCTTGTTGTTGATTGCCCATTGGTTGATATGATGGCTGTTGCTGGTCGCTCATCGGCTGATAGGACGGGTATGGTGGTGGGACTTGTGGGCTTGGTGTCTAAATGGATTGATTCAAGAGTTGATTATTGAAAGCTTCAAAAACCAGGTTTGCTTATCGATACGATAGAACTCAAAATTCTCAGAATTTTGCAAGCATTGAAAGCAATCAAGCTAGAAAATTTCGTGCACAACAAAGCCTTCACCATTGTGACCCGAGAAGTGCTTGAGACTGACTATTTTCAAACCAAGATACAACACGTTTCCAAACTCACAAGAGTAAAAGCATTGTAGTGCAACGAATAGACAAGAACTTGCTTGAGTTTTCAGTACTAAAATGCTTGGATTTTAAGTGTTAGATAGTTGATCATAGACTTGACCTAGTAAACACTAATCAATCCAAGTCTGATGACAGACTTGGGCTTGTCAAGGATTGAGTCTATTAAGGCTTGATAATCCCAGCCTAGTTGATCACTTACTATTAAAAGTATTAAAAAGGCATCGTAAACTAAAACAGCAACTTTTTGATACCTGATAAGTTGGTGGAGCGACTGGATGTTGAGCACTTTGGTCATACGATGGTGGTGGGGTCTTGTAGTTCTCCATGCCGGTGATCTAAAAAAGATAAACAATTTAGTCATGGATTGTTTGAAGTGCAATTTCAGTACAGTGAACTTTGAGTAAAACAACATCAATTCAAACAACAAACCTTCAAAATTCGAAGATGAGTTCCCTCATTGGGCATTCCCGGAAGTGGCACATCGTAGTCACCCCAAAGATAAACGTTGCCTGAAAATATGGTATTTGAATTTTAAACATATAGCTCTATATTCTGATCAGAATTGGTAACAGAATTGAGGTTTTTTTTCAGTGTTTGAACTGCTTTCAAAAACATAACAAAGTTTTGGATTTAAATCAAAATTTTTCCAAAACACAAACCCGAATTGCAAGTAGTCAGACGTGGCTCAATGAGTGGGCATGGCATCTGAGCGGGTACTTGGGTCCACTCGAAGTTCTCACAGTTTAGCACCCAATAGTCGACCAAACGATGCACATCACCATTTGCTTCAACCTCTCCACCAGCCAGAAGGATGTATCCTGGAAAGTTTTCTGTCTAAAACTTAACTAAAAAGAAATTGTAAGAGAATTCAAACACTCCTGCTTCTTTTCCAAGCTATATGAGAATTCAATCCAAGCTCAAAGCTTACCGGGAACAGAGTTGAGGGCCGCTTGTTTTCTTGATGGTGGAAAGCCGCGACCGGGATCTTGACGACACTAAACAATTTACTTTTGAACACAAATATTCAAGTGTTAAGTTCTAAAGCGATTTCACGAAAAAAGATTTCAAACCTGATGAGTATTGATCTGTCTTGTCTGCAGATTCAACACGTGAACTCGAGAATAGTCGAGATGTCCATCAGGCGCTGCGGAAACCAAGTAAACGAGTCTAGAAAAGGATTGGCCTTGAAAAGATTTGTGCTTAAAGTTGCAGCTAGAAGCTAAATGTTAGATAAAAGTCAGTCACATTTTCATTTCAACTTAGTGAATAATTTTAAAATGCATCATTTTTGATTACTTACCCAGCATTCAAGAACCCATCATAAAAATGCGTGAGCTCCGCCCCGTAAACGTTGAAGCTTTGTGGAGCGGTCGGGTATTCGGCCATGCAATTCACCGAGCACACCTAAAATTGAAAAAATTTTAAGTAGTTAGGTAAGGCTGAATGGTAGCTTAAAGCTAGCCTATATCTTGCCATGAAACTCACATTCAATCCTGGATTATAGAGTACAATGCATTCGGGGCTGTCTTCACGCATCGAGCAGATGTACTCGCCTGAATTAAAACTGAAATAAGCCCTTGAATAGCTTTCTTACTTCCACTTCCCATGTTGATATCAGAAAGGGGTCGACAAGTGACAATTGCCGTGCCTTGTTGGTCCAAATCGAGACGCCAGAAGTGAAGCTAAAGCAGGTAAAGTTAAGGGTTTTCTAGTTTCAGTTAAAAGTAAAGAGTCATCTAAGTCTAAAGTTATCTAAAGCTGCAATGTGCTGTAATTATGGGCAAACAATATAAAAAGGAGGGAATGAACGAGGGGAGAGGGTACTTTAAAAGCGCGCTACAAAAACATAACGAAGGGGAGCGGAAACTTAGCGGGACTCAGTATAAAAGCCGGATAAAGTTTCCAATTTCATCGTGGAATGAAGGAAAGGAAAAGAATCGCCAAAGGAGAATTTCTGTGCGCGGTACGGTGCACATACAAGCTTTAGAGAGCGCGCCGCGCCGCCTTCGCGCCAGTCCCTTAAAACCGCGTGTCAATAGGATTCTAACTGAATTTTTGGATACACTTTCTTTGCATTCCTTACCGTGGTTCGTCCCTCGTACGTTTTCGCTTCAGTGACCAGAATCAGAGCCGTTCCACCTTGTGGCGATGGGCATTTCAAGCTGAATAGGAACTTGGCTCGACCTGGAATGAACACTTTAATTTGTCACAAGAAATCAGCTCACCATTTGCCTGTGGCATGTAGATGGGGTGCATAAAGCAACGAAGTCTCATATCGAATACGGACAAACATTTGTCGTAGCCTTTACAGTCGCTAAAACATTTTTTGTATTATGATTAAATTGAAAACGAACACTTCGGCTTCTCGCTCAGTTTCCGGTTCGTAGAGACAATAGAGTTTTCCTCCATCAATCGATTCTTGAACGTCCTGAACAAGAATTTTTTATGAACTTTCAGACCTTATTGCTTTATTCGAATGTTATTTACAAAAAGTGCTTTTGATGAGTAATAAACCTTAAAGAAGATTCGCTTTCATTTAACCGTTGACAAAAATAACAACAAGTTTAACGCCCTAAGTTCAACTTGTTAGTTGAGAGCTTGTTGTTTTTGGCTGACTTGAAACAATTTGATTTATTTAACAGTCTAATTTGTTCCATTACTTTATCTAGGAAATTTTTACTAACATTTACATTGACCCTTTTCTTTTACTCACCTCATATATAGCTAAACGCCACTGTCCAGTTTGTTGCTCAAGAGGATTCGCCGATTGACCCCATGGGAAAGTGAAATCCTCGGTGTTAACGTTCATTCTGAAAAGAAATAGATTGTAGATTTAAAAACAATTACAAAATGAGAAAATCTCCAAGAATACAAATCAAGGTATTGAAATTTCCTAGCAAAAAGAACACATCTGGACCCTGAATTACCAAAAAAATGCCAATCAATCAGTGTTGATGAAATTGGATTGGGAAAGAATGAAAAATCGTTGTTTTGCTATAAACATGACGAGGTCTTTGCAAAGAAAAGGCAGGGAAAATGAGAGAAAAGTTGCGCGGCGGAGAGATTTTGAAAGAGACCTGTGAGTCATCGAAAAGGGATGACGTTGAAGATTGAAGATTAGATTGGTTGGTAACGAAATGATACGGGTTTTAGGTAAAGTCATGTAAATGTCCATTGAAAACAAAAGACTGATTATTGATTACAATACACAAATCAAAGATTTACCTTAACATTACAAAAAGGGTTTTCTAAAAGAATTTGCTATTATATTTAGAGAAAATGGTGTAGAAAATAGACCTCAAAACCATTACGCTTTAAGTTTAGAATGCTAAATTTGCAAAAAAGTTGCTTAAAGCCATGAATGACTTTGATACTTTAAAGTAAAAGATCATGTTCTTATCAAAAAGTATAAGAAAACTTGTCAAAACACTAATCCTGTTGAGTTCAATCAATTTCAATTCAATCAAGGTTTTGAAAAGCCTTTAAATTTTCAAAAATTTTGCTATCACAATGAGAAAAATCGTTGTTTATCGTTTGAGAAAAGGCCAAGGTCATCTGGAAAGAGTCAAGATTTGAGCCAGTAAAAGGGAGGTTGAGAGATCGGATAAAAAAGAGAAAAAGAGAAAAAGAGATAAAACAGCTCAAAAAGGAATCAAAACAATCGAGAAATATTTTAAAAAGAATGCAAACAAGGCAAAATTTTTGGATGGGTTGGACAGAAAGAGCTCGGGAGAGAAAAGAGGCATCGATCCGTTCTTTTCCCCTTTTAGCCTTTTTGGTGGTTGTTTGGGAAAAATTTTGTGGTCAAAAGGGGAAAGGCCGGTTGTTTATGAGAAGGACGCGAGTACCGAAAATGGGGAATTTTAACGGGTTTTCTCCCTTTTCTTTGGAATTGATTGGTTGCAGGTAGGAAGTAATGAATATGAAAAAAATTTTGTCTTTAGAATAGGCCTGTTTTGGATACAGATTGAGTAAAGGCAAGAAGTCAGTGTAAAAAGTACAGGTGAAAACCAAAACCGCTGCTATAGTGGTTGGGGACGTCAAACATTTTTTTTTTGCTAAATAAGCTGATTTTTTTTGCACCCAGGGGTTTTTGACTATGCTGAATCAATTGGTGATGGTTTCACACAATATTTCGCAAGTTTTAACAAATTTTGCAAGCAACACAATACTGAAAACCTAATCTACTTATTCCGGGATGAAGTGGCCAAAAAGTAGCCGTTGTCTTGAGACATGTTCCCGTTGGTAACTTGTTGGCATTTTGTTGCTGTTTGTCATAAAGGTTGTTAAAAGTTGCGAAATCTTGTGCGAAACGATTACCAATCGATCCAGTATGTTCAAAAACCCCTGGGTGCAAAAAAGCAGCTCATTTGGCAAAAAAAAATTTTTGACGCCCCAACTACTATAGCCCCCAATCCTATTCAGTCCGGCTTCGGCTTGGTCATAGGATTCCGTAACGTGTTACGGTCTCAAACATCCAAATTCTTGGTCAAAATTCTACCCAAACTGCTAAATCTTTTAACCCAAAAACACTAATTCCAAATGATTTGTCAAAATGAGAGAAATAACAAGACGATTCGCGGATGGGTTGGATTGACTGGCGTTTATAGAAAGAATGTTTAGATTTTTAATAACTTTTATCGGTGATATGAAAGATACGGGTCCAAAGAGCAACAAAGTGGAAAGACCGAGAAAAGCACAGAAACTCGAAAACTTTAACAATTTTAAAAGAAACAGGGAAGGAGGGGTGGAAACAATAAAAGAAGGAGGGGTTTAACAATAAACAGAATTTTATAAGGGATATAGAAAGGAGAAAATACACGCGAAAAAAACACGGCGAAGCGCAGGAGCGGGCAAAGATTATGTAAATGTATGAATTTTGAAGAGATGGGACTTCATTTTATACTGGGGTAAGGGAGTCACCGTCTCGACTACGGTAGCTTAGGTGTATTTTAGAATTTAAGGCTGCTGTGCCACCCCGTACGAGAATGGGGGTTTATTCAGATGTTCTTATTTAGCATTTATCCCTTCACCAACCTTTTTCTCGCTCTGTTTCTGTATTTAGCTTAAGACAATTGACACTCAGTGCTTATTACACAATACTGAAAATCTAGTGCGTTTTATCATTCACATTTGTCAACATTTTGAAAAATAATCATAAATCCTGCAAAATTTATTCTCGTTTCCTGTCAACTGATTTGTTTCACGAAGAGTGTAAATCTTAACATATGTACCTGGCCAATGACACAACATTAGAGTGGAAAAATTTGCGAAGAGCTGCCGGAAGATTATGCACACAAAAAAAGGCTCAAAAATACTAACGAATATCACTTTATTTTTTGATTGAATATTGCACTTGGCGACTAAAGTTTTCAGGCAAAAATACTAGCGAGTAAAGGCTGGGATTCAAGTTACAAACTCGATTTACAATAGAAAGTGAAAAATTAGTTCTACTGATATAACAGTAAGCGAATCACAATGTAAATGTCACAACTGAAATGGGAATTCCTTTCTGGGTGAAGTTTATTCATCTGGAAGCGGTCGTAAAGCGAAAATTGCCGTCTTTACCGCTTTTGCGCATTCGCCAGCTTTTGAAATGAGGAATCTGAATTGGTTTTGAGAATTATGATCTAAAGATTTCTGTTATTTAGCTTGCCAGTTTTTGCCAGTCATTCAAGATTTTAGAACCTATAGTTTGCCAGTGGGTATTTTAGGTGGTTTTGAGTTAAAAGACAGTTAATCCTACTTTGAATTGATCTTGAAAGAAATTTCTTAAAAATTTAATTATTTTAAGGATCGAATCCAAGTCATCGTAAGTTTTTAGCTCATTATCAGATCTCGTAGTGATTATAAAGTTGATTAAAGTTCACTTGTTGAGTTCATAAACTCTTACTGTTACATCTGACAGCTTACCTAAAAACCAATTCACAATTTATCCCACCTATGCGAAGCAATGATGCTGTGCTCTCCGGGCGAGTGTTCATATCCGAATTTGAACGTCAGCAACTCTGGGATTTTCTTCTTGCTCGTCACTCGGATCACCGTCTGTAGTGGGTGTCTCGACTCGGTGGTGACGATTCCAGACTGAACTTTTGTTTGGGTTATCGAACATTTGATATGCTTCTTGGTGTTGAGCTGTTCAATTTAAATATTCTTGGTGTCATTAGATGCGTCAAGTCTTTCTCTGTCGATTGATACAAAAACTATTTAAATTGGACAGCCAGATATTTGAGATTGTTTGATACTGTGATATAAGATATTTGAGTTCAAAGTTGGATTGCCAATAGCAAAGCGGACGGGGCGCGTATCAAATGTCCCGCAATCTTTTTTTGCACCTTACTTCTTCTGAACTTACTGTTCCAAGGACATCGTGCAAAATGTGCATATGAGTTCTCGTTAAAGCAATGTGTGCAGGAATCAAGAAGCCGCCTTTCATCACTTCTTGGCACTCGAAACATTCAAGGACGTCAGCTTGAGACTTGTAGATATCCAGGGACACCTAAAATACCACCAAAAATTAAAAGATCCGATCAGATTAAAGGCATAAGCTTTCAGATAGTGCTACTTCAGTATTTTCGGTTTAGCTTGGCTATCATTGTTTGTCTCTTTTTGAAATTGATTTGAACATTATCAGCCTTACCTTCTCCTTCTCCGTATCATGTTTTTGAGTGTTTCCATCTGCAGTGAACGGATCCTCATCACTTCCCTCATCATCCAAAGAAAACACTGACTTTTCCTTCTAAAATATTCTCTTAGCTCTGTTCTAAATTTTTAAGCACAAGGATTCCCCAAACCAAGCCTTATAGTCGAAAGGACAGAAAAGGAGGGACAGTCAAACCTTTTTCTCGTCAATTTCGAGAGAAATTGAGTTTCTGCTCTAAATTTTCTCGCTAACAGAATCAAAGAAATGAAAAATTTAACTTTATTGTTTTGCACAAACCTTGTATTTCTTTCCATGTCGATCTTTTGGATCGGCGTGTTTGATGTGGGGTTCGGTGGGCGATTGGACGAGCTCTTGGACCTGAAACTTGGAATAACTTTCGATTGATAAAGATGAGGCCAATACTTCATTCGAGACCAGACTTTTCCAAAGGCAGATCAGGCCATTCAAGACCATAGCCACGCCAATTCAACCAGAAATCGGGCCAAGCCAGATCCTCACTCCTGGTAGTTTTTGGCCTAACCTGACTTGTCTTACTGCAGGTCAGGCCGATAAAAAGTCCCCCCCAATCAATCAGAAATCGGAGCAAGCCAGATCCTGGTCTGGCTTCTGGCCTTGTTTATCTGGTCTGACCTGATCTGCCCACTGGTAATGAGTATTAAACCAAATCTTCAAACAAGCCCAACCTTTCCCTTCACAGCGGCTCCTTTGCTGATCACCGCGTTCTTCATCAAGCCCATGAGACCCTGAACTCTCTATTTAGAGAATTTTATCATCCAGGCAACAAGGTTCACAATTTAGAATGGTTCATTTACCCAAGCCGTTTTCGAAGGGCTTTGTGTGGCGCATTCGGGACATCGATGTTGATCATGTGAAGAGATCACTCTCAAGCGTCCCGTTTCCGTCAGCAATGCGTGAAGTCCTAAAATTTCTTGGTTTTCTAGATAACCTAGCTAAACTAATTTGAAGATTTATCATTGTCGATCAAAAATTACAATTCTCTTCACTGTTACCAACCTCTATAACCGCCTTCCAGAAAAGAAACATGCATCTTCCCATCTCTCAGAAATTTCGAGATTACCATATGCATGTATTGATCCTTTTCTTGATCTCCATAACCTGTAAATTTAAAAGTTAAATTAACCAAAGCCAAAGCCAACTTACCCAAGAAACAATAATGATCTTCAGGGTGTTGAGCCGATTTGTACTCCTCTTGGGCTTTGTGTGCGAAAGCAAATTGCTCTGGAGCATCCACAAACTAAAATTAAAACTCTAACATGCATCTTTTAAGGCTAATTTTAATTTGAACAATTTTGACCACTAACCAATTGGGCATCGAGGTTGAAAGAGCCATAGACTTGGCCAGAGCGGAAAGCCTCCTGATTTCGGCAATCAATCACAAAATAGGAAGTGGGTAGAAGCTAAACTTTTGGAGTTGATTTTTATTCAAGATAAAAGTAAATCACCGCTTCAATAGCTGTATTGAGATCTTTGCGTAGAAGTTCGTTCGGTGTCACCGAGAGGCAAATCATTTGTCGGATGTTTTTCTCGGAAAAGTCATCAAGTAGATTCGAGCCAAAGAGGGCTCCATGGAAATCCTGGAGAAGGATTAATTAGCATTAGAAAATTGAGTAAGATTTTCTTAAAGGTGTTGCAAAGCTAAAGTTACTACACTATACTGTAATGTTCTATACAGATAAGACAAGCCAAGTAAAAGTCAAGGGATCGGCCTACTATTAGCTTTGTTTTGTCCATGGTTTTGCCTTGGATTTGGTTTCCTTCTCTTTCTTTCTTTTCCCTCTTGTATTCTTTCTTCTCTGACAAGAAGGTACCGGATAGTTCAGTGGTTAGAGCATGAAAGCAAAAAGGTTGAGAGTTCAATCTCCTCTCCGGAAATCGTTCTTTGCCATTCCTTACTTTACATTATTACTATTAGCTTTGTTTTGCCCTTGACTTTGACTTGGTTTTACCTGAAAAATTAGTTTAGGGACAACCTTGGCAAGGTATAATACTGAACCTCATTCACATTCTTTACTTAAAGAAAACATATTCAATTCAATGCCTAGAGGTTTTATTCTTGAATATTGCTGTACAATAAGTAACATAATAACTTATCAGTTTTCTTTCTCACCTCTCTCAAGCATTGCGGTGTTCTCAACGAGTAGTACAAAGCAACTTCCACAAAATCATTGATATCCCCCGGGGTCAAACTTTTTGGCAACTCAGACAACAGTTTTCCAGCTTCTTCTCTAAAAATTATATTTTAAAAGAAAGTTAAAATAATGTTTTATACCTTTGCTCCTTTTTGAATACCAACAATTGCTCTTTTGCATTGATGACCATGGCCAGAGCCAAGAAAAACACCAAAAAGGGGTCACCCTGTAAAATGTTTACTTTAAAAAGAAAATAAAAGGTAAAGAAAAAGTAAATGAAAAAAATTTAACACTCACCCGTTCTATGTACAAATCCCATAAAGCCGCACAAGTCTTATCATCAACAGCACAAGCATATAGAGTTGAGAACCATTCTCTGAAAGAAAAATAGTTACTGAATGTTGCATAAACTTATTGTTAGCTGTTAGCCGTATACTAAGCTGTAAATAGACTATCGTAAACCTATTGACTTATTATTTTACACCTTTTAGACAATTCTCCCCACCTGGCATACGTTTGAGAAGAGCATTTAATCGATTCCAAATGCGAGGAAAGTTCTGGTTCATGGTATTGCAACAATAATCGAAACAGGTCAAACACTTGGGCACCGGGTTTGGTTTCTCTGTAAATTTTATATAAGCCTTACAATTTTATATAAGATCTACATCTAAAATATGCAATTTTGAAAACTTCTCAAACCTTGGAGTGTATTTTGTGGTGATTCCAAAGAAAATATTGAAGAGAAGTTCATTTGGATAGTCAAATTTGATCAACTTTTCCAGTAAAAGCGTCCAGCCGGAGTCTTTCTAAAGTGATTTTTAAATTTTAATGCTAAAAACTTGAAATTACATCATAATCCATATTTCTCTTCTTGCAATACAATGTGAAGAAGGATTCCAATTCAGGTACGGAGCGGGTGTTGCCGATTTGTTTAGCTAACAAGCGGCAATCATTTCTGGAATGTTTCGTTGATCAAACGTTAAGCTTAAAAAAGCTATAATTTATTCTTATTTTGCTAATCAAATGAAAATTTGACCTCAATTGACTTTGGCTTTTCAGATTGTATAACTGATCCCAATCATTCAATGGATCCGGTCGATTGGCCATGCCGAGCAGGCGCTGAAATTTGCTGAGTCAAGCGAGTTCTAATCAAGTTTTAGGTTCAGATTTGAAGAGCTTTAGATCTAAAACTCACAATCCATTTCCTTGCTTTCAGCTCCGATTCCTTTTGCACTGGAGATCCTTCTGATGAGGTTGAGATTTCCCGCAACACATCCACTACATCTTTCACCGACGAGGACTCCTGAGAGCCGGATCCGTTTGCGTCTTTTACCCTAAAAGCAAAGATAAACAAATTTTTGGGTGATAAGCTTGTGCATTGAGAATCAGGAGGCCCAATAACAACTCCAAGAAGTCACAAAAAAAACTGAAATTGTCCTAATAGTCAGCAGGAGATTTGAAGATGTGTTAATTTCTGATCCAAGAGTTAGACAAATCATAAAAGAATCTATTTTGCAGAACCCAAAAGTTAAATCTCACCCATTTGCAGCTATGGCCCTAAATTTTGTTCAATCAAATTGTCCAGACTTTGCAATCAAAACAAAACCACAATTCTGATGTTTTCAATGCAATTTGTTTTGAGCACAAAGTGCGCCACCTCGTTCAACCCTTCCCCACAACCAGCCACGTTAACTCCGCCCATTTTTCAGTCCGTTTGCCGTTGGCAATCTACAAATTTTGCTCGTACCTAGATCGGGTTTGTTTGAAAAACGTTGAATTTGCTTTCATTCGATAGAAAACTTGATTTCGAGTCGAATGAAAGCAAATTCAACGTTTTTCAAAACGAACCTGGCTAAGATACGAGCAAGATTGCCAACGGCAAACGGACCGAAAAAAGGGCGAAGTTAACATGCCTGCCCACAACTCACCAATCATCTCCGATTGTGCTCGAGCTCTCGCTGAGAATATCGTGGTCCATACAATGGTTTATCCACTGAAAAGAAAAACTTAATTTTCTATAAAGGAAAACAATTGTAAAAACATATCAAACAGTATTAAACAAAAACATTTTGACATACAAAAACATACTTGAAACGAATGAAGAAAGATTACAGATCAAAAAAAAAAACATTTACAATATCGGATGAAAATGTCAAAATGATCAAGGATTATGAAAAAAAATCTTGCAAACAATAAAACGAAATGCTTGTTTGATCACATTTTCAACTTTGCATGATTAGTTTACTTTGATTTTTTTCAAAACCCTTCCTCAAGAATCAAAATTTTGACAACCTGGAAAAGAAAGCAATTAAACCGATAAGCTGATAGTAGAAAAGGTGAGCAAATAGAGTAATTTTGGAGAGAAACGGAGAGAGTTGTAGGAATGACGCTTCAATCATTCATTCACTCTCTCACAAACATATGAACCTTTTCAACCGATACACACATGGCCCGATGTGTGTAGCCGGCGAGAGAGGGTACGGTAGAAAGAGCGTGGTTTAGGGAGAAACAAAGAGAGTAATGGTCGAGTAAGTTGATGGTTTATCGTTTCTGATCGAGTAAGCACTTATCAAATCTGCCCAGTACCGGACAAAGAATGTAACAAAATGATTGCTCCAAATTTCAACATCTACCGCCCTTGGCCAGCTACAAAGTTGCCAGACTGCAAGACCAGACACTGGTCTTGCCTAACAGAACAGTAAAGCTAGGTTTATCCAAAAGCCAGGTCCCGATCTGGTTTTCGGATTTTGCCTTGCCCGACCTAGGCTTATTGTAGGTTAGTTACCGGCATGGCTTGTCTTTACTGCTTTCCTGGCCTAATAGTAAGTACCTAGGAGCCAAAAGGCAGAGAACATGCCAAGCTCAAGTCAGAGATGTCCCAACCAAGCCCAGGCTTAGTAGCTGGCTCTGGCTGGCTCTGGCCAGCTCCAGACCAGGCCTGAGCCAGCTACCAAGCTGTAACCAGTGAAGACCAGTGCCTAGTTAGAAGCCAAGTCCAAGCCTGACTTTGATGGGTCTAGAGGCTTTTGGATGAATAAAGCCTAGAACTGGCCAGATGGTGCCATTTGCAGGACGATCCGAGCAACTGGCCTAGAACTGGCTCTGGTGTTAGCTGGTCCAGACCACGCCTGAGCCTAACCGATCTAAAAGGTTCTTGCCAAATTCTCTCATCTTTCACGATGAATACAAAGCAATATCAGCTAGCCCAATGCACTCCTATCAGGACGAGGAAAAATGCTATGTATCACCCACTTGCACGTAAGGAAAATTCGAGCACGGTTCAACAAACACAATAAATTTTTGCAATGCCTACATATGATTGATGTCAGTTGGCATTCCACGGTAAATTATGATTCAGAAAAAGCGACTAACGCTTTTGGTTCCGCATTGTGCTTCACCTGTCTTTTGCTTCACCTGTTCTCACTTCCAAACCATATTGAAAGAACAAAATTGATTTATTTCTAATATCATTCAATGTTTTTCGCCCCGGATTCCACGCAAAAACTCGTGATATCAGGAATTTACGATGTCGCAAGTGTTCTCTCAGTTATCCTATGCCCAGTGGTTTTGTATCTTTTGTATTTGGATCGGAAACGAGCCGCCAAAACGCACACCATCTTCCAAATGGCAATCGTGGTGAGTGAATTCAAATTTTCTATTTGAAAACCATTAAACTTTAATCTTAATAAAAAGCACTGCATAGTTTAGTTGGGAACTGAAATTTTATGCATTGAGGAGATCTCTTCCTTCCTATTTCCTTCCCCTTTTTGCTTGGCTGCTTGCTTGTTGCTATTCTACTTTTTCTCTCTTTCCCTCACCTCACCTTTTTCGTTTTTCCTTTTCATTTTTAAAAACAATTTGGCAAAGAAAAAGGAGCTAAAGGGAATCGTATTCTCGACCTTGGCTACAGGCGACCTCTTTCCATTGAGCTACACAGGCACTGCTGATCCCAGAGTCAAAGAAGGCAGAAGAAGAAAGAAAGAGAAAGTGCACACGCTGTCTCACAAGTCCAAGAACAAAAGAAACCGTTAAACTAGCTCTAATTCTAGCTTTCAGTGCATCTCTTTTCTTTGCGATCTCCTTCTGGGCATCACGAATCCGGTGCTTTTACTTCCATATCCCGCCGTCTACTGTATGTCGCCGATCTTCAATGCAATCACCATTCGACCATGGATAGCGAAAAATATATTCGTAACAACTTTTATCAATAGTACTTAATATTTTGCACTCAGTTCAACTACGTTTTTGGAGAAGGCCTTATTGTCTACTTCCTCGCTGTGATGTTTAATCATCGCTTATTCTTATTGAGGAATGATGGCCGAAAAATCGAAAATTCACCCGTTTTCATTGCTTGTTCGACTTTTCTAGGCATTTTGCTGACTGTTGGTATTATTGCCATGCAAGGGTTGCCGTTTCTCGATGCAGAAGCAATAGAGAGAGAGGTGAGTGGATGAAAAGATGAAAACTCACAAGGAAATGGTCTTAACTCAAAGCATTGAGTTGGAAAATAAAGTTTACCATTGTGGTGACTAGGTATAGGCTCTGGTTTTTTGATTTAGGCTTTTGACGAGTATGGAAGTGGTCTCTATCGACTTTTGATTATTTTTGGCTATTTTGCGTGGGGCATTTTGTTTCCGAGGGATTCTGATGTTTTGGTGGGTTTTCTTCAGATAGTTTTTCACCAAGCTAAGCGGATTCGAATCCAGTAAACCTGTAAGCCAAGCTTTGGAAAGAACCAAGAAAAGTTTCAGGATGACTCGAATGTCCGAATGCCGGACGAAATACTGACGTTCATAAAAGAAACACCGGGTACCTTCTATTGGGTGTTTAATCGGTCGATCACTCGATACGTTGCTATTTTCTTCTTAATCCTTTTTTTTTTGGTGGGGAGCGAAATGATCTTCACAGTGCTTAGAATATTTCATTTTACGTACAAACTCGGTAAGAACATTCGAAGTAAACAGGCTCGGCAAACACAAAACGGCTATGTGCGAATTCTTCTATTACAGGTGAGAAATGGGCTAGAGTGGTGGAAAAATGAAGTAAAACAAACAGAATCTTAAGGAAAAATTTAATTAGGGATCTTTAATACAAAAGTTACATGGTGATTTACAAAGCTATGTAAACTTGCATCAAATTTTTCGGCGAAAGAAGCACAAATATTCAATTTTCAATTGCGCCCAAGGCTTACAGACGAATAAAATCCTTTTTCAGTTCTTTGCCGTTTGCCTATTTTATGGCCTTACAGTTCTTGCTCTTTTCCTGAATGTGGTTCAAGATTACGTTAACCTATATTCTGGTTAGTGAAAATGTTCTGATGAAATAGGACATTGATAAAACAAGCACTTTTCTGTTCAGTCACATGCAACTTTATGGCCTATGTCAGTTGGCATTCCACGATAAATTGTTTGATTTTGATTTTTGGCGCAAAGTCTATGCGGAGACTTCTCTTCAACAGGATCAAGCAGTTGTGGTCAAGTAGGCCTTGAAATAGTGACGTTTTAGAAAAAGCATTACTTTTCTGAACTTGGAATTGGATTTTTAACGACTTGAATCCTGTTGATCTTGATAAATCTTGAATCTTGAATCGACTTGAATCATCGATTTATTTTAGCCTATCACAAGTATCACGGAGAACACTCAAATGGTAATGGCCCAATCGCTGGAAAAACGAATCAACAAGGAAAATTGAAAGTCGTTACCACGACTTGGGTGAAGCCCTTAACGAATAATGTGCATACGTGATTTGATTTTGATTTTGATTGTTCGAAAAATTTCTAATAAAGTTTTCCTGGCTTCACATGCAATTTTTGTGTATTTGATGTGTGCAAAGGCGTTGTAGTTTTCGTATAATTTCAATTAATGAGCTTTTAAATTCGAAGTTGAATAGCCAAAGCTCAAAGCATAAGTCTAACATGCATTTTTTTGATTAATCTTTAATGCTTTTTGATTAGTAGGTGATAAACAAAGAAGTAAAGCTTTTATTGTTTTGAAAAATCAATTATAAACTAAAATAAACTAGCATCTATTCCTCAAAATGATCGATATTTTCGCAAAAAACCGGCAAAACGATCTAAAAGAATGAATCTTACAAGTGAGGGACCCCAGAAAAAGAAAACGGAACAGCAAAGAGACTCGAGCACAGTGCAATCTATGCTCCAAAAACGCAATTGCAAACTATTTTAGACTTAAAGATTTTAAAATGCTGTGTAAAATTAAAGAAAACATTTAAAGTAGAAAAAGTTAAGCAATGCTATTAAAAACTTATATTATTTACGAATTTACTAGGCTTTATTGTCTACATTTGCACTAGAACGATTCAAAAACAAATTCCACGCCCTAAAAAATCTAAATTCTTAAATAAAACTGTCCATTACTACATTTTTTTCGCGCGGCTTTTTATAGCTTTGCTTAAAAAGCGCACCTTTTAGAAAACGCGTTGTCGGAAGTTTGTCGGATCAATTGTCTGATAGAAAAGTTGTCAATGCAAATTTGTCTGACAAATTGTCGATCAACAAGGAGCACACTCTAATCATAACCTACAAAGGGAAAAGTGAAAAATGAATTCTTTTTTCACAGAAAACAGGTGATATTTCTCTCTTTCGTATCCTCAGAAGTGCCTCGTATTGTACTTGGAACTGCTTCTCGATTCCATGCTTGGTCTACTTCGAATGCAAACTACAAATTTGACTTTTAGAAGATTGTTGTTTATAAGTAAACTGATTTTGGGAAATTTTGGGAAATTTTGGGAAATTTTGGGAAATTAGCGGAAAGAAAACTTGCAAACAAACCCACTTGTCTTGCTCAGATCTGTTGCAGATCTTGCTGATCTATTTAATAAATTCCTTAAGCTGACGAACTATTTCAACGGCCCACTTTGGCAAGTTCGCTTTTTATTTCCTGTAGCTGCATTGCCCTAGGCTATTCATTTGACAAGCCGTATGCAGGGCCCAGATAAGGCAGTCGGTACTAACCGAA